TATTATATACTATAATATATATTATTAGGTAGTATATTTTGATTAATTGTACAGAAAGATGGCATAACATATAAACTGTTATTTAGCCTGAGAACTTGTATACTTCTCCTACAGTCTCTCTTTACATTGGTAAGATATACGTTATTTATTTAAGGGGCTATGTACTCTGAGGAGGATCATGCAGAGTTAAAGATCTTGGTCTTGAAATGTTAGAAAGTAGGGAGAGGTGACTTGTGACTGCTCTAGAAGTATGTGTGTTTCTTTTAAATCCTCTCCATCCTCTTATATATATATATACATATATATAAAGCTGTTCCTGTTGCACCTGTGTCAAGCCAGAGCTCCCTACGTGGAGAAGTGAATTCTGCTCCTCTAAGATTTCTTCTGAAAGGAACAGTTGGGTTTTCTCCTTGACACACAGTGTTCGTAGGGTGTCTGTTCCAAATCTAGAACTGAACACTGTTCCCAGCAAAAATGTTAACATTTGACAGATTTAACTTGATTTGGATTTTAAGGTTGGTTTTTTGGCTTTTTTTGGGGGGGTGAGGGTGTTGAAGAGTGTTGGAGACATAGAAAAGCAAAAGATTTGTGGGAAATAAGAATATGGATTATTACACGGGTCTTCATTTAGCATTTAGAGAGTTAAGGCAAAAACATAAAAGGGATAATTTTATAAAAGAGTTATTTTGAAAATTTAAAATGGGCTGTTTCTTGAATATTGACTTCAGACTCTGCGGGATTTAAAATTTAAGTTTGCAAAGGTTAATAAGGAAAAAAGAGAGATTTGCCCTGTGTATGGCTGAGTTCGTGTACAATCTTATGTGCTTATTTCTAAGTGCAGTGGTGCTTAAAATTGCGATAGCCCTAAATCTTCAACTCAGTTTTACATTAAGACTAACAACTTCAAAGTATTAGTTGCTCAAGGGTTGAATTGACTGTAAAATGTAGGGAAGATATTCTTAATTAAGAGATAAAATGTAATTCCTTTTCAAAGTAAATTGTTTTTTTCTGTCCTTTTAGGGTATAAAGCCAGCAAGCTTTGAGAAAGTTACCGATCCTGAAATTAAGGAGATAATTGGGGAGTGCATTTGCAAAAATAAAGAAGAAAGGTTTGTTTCAAGTAGTCAAGTTTTGCATTAAGTAATGTGTATGTGGAGATTTCAAAGCTGTCTGTGAATTTTTGCTCTGGCCTCTGGGTCTTCCCTGTGCAGGAGACAACGCACAGTGAAAATGCAAACATAAATGATGACTGCTTTCCTGCATTATAATGTCAGGATAATACAATAAATGCCACTGTTGTGTCCTCAACCTCCCAACCAAAGAATGAAGTCATAAAGCATCGCTGTGGACGTGTGAGCTAGCATATTCTGGCACATTCTGGCATTGCTGTCCATAAAACCTCACTCAGGAGGTTCTGTGTGGAGCATCAGGTTTGGTAGAGATTGACCACGAGTGCGACGTGGTAGAGCCTTCACCCCAAGCTGTTATAGCAGATTTCATTGGCCTCTGGGTGTGAAGACAAATTGTGCCTTGTTTCCAGCTTTGGTTTTAAAACCTAATTAATCTCTTATACTGGCCTGTCCTAGATTAGTGTGTCTGCTGTTCAGTAATTCATTACTTTCACAAATACGGTTTTTAGGCACCTCAGCTGACTACCTAGAGGGAACCTCTTTTTTAGTACTCGTTAAGCTCAGATACTCAAGAAAACTTGAGCAAAGCTATATTCTGCATTCCTGTACGTACTTAAGGTGTATGAATATTGCTGAAGCTTTGTGAAATAGGAAACAAGCATCATTTCTTCAGCAGTCCTCAATAATGCTGGAAATACTGCATCTTTTTGCTAAGAACACAAGTTTGTTATGGATGAACACCAAACATACTATAAATATTTTTGTCTTTAAGAGCAGTTTCTTATCAAAGACTTCTTTGAAAGTGCTTAAGACTTGCAGTATTTGAATAATCTTTATATCTGTTGCAGATATGAAATTAAAGATTTATTAAGCCATGCCTTTTTTGCTGAAGATACTGGGGTAAGAGTGGAACTTGCAGAAGAAGACCATGGTAGGAAATCCTCTATTGCCTTAAGACTCTGGGTAGAAGATCCTAAGAAACTGAAAGGAAAACCCAAAGATAATGGAGCCATTGAGTTTACTTTTGATCTGGAGAAGGAAACTCCTGATGATGTTGCACAAGAAATGGTAAAATAAACTTCTCCTGACAAAAATGTATATATATAAATTAGTGCATAAATCTCACAGGACAGCAGGAACAAGTCTGGTAAAGTAACTTCCATTTAAACCATGCCAGGTGTCTAGTTTAAGCAGTTTGCATTGATTTTCAGAATCAATGCTACAAGAAAGGGATGAACGAGGAAGAGCTAATAACTGAAAAGTACTACTTACCAAGAAAACAGATGCATGAAATGGCATTTCAAATTGCTTAGGGACCATAGATCTCTCTTCTGCTTTTATATTGTGAAGACTGTTTTCCCACTCTCTGTTAGCTGTTTAATGTATTTAATTTTTTTTAGAATCTGTTTAGTTGCAGACCGCAACTTGACATAAATTAGAAGAGGCTGAAAGCTCAGTCACAAAATTGAATTCTTCAAAACTCTTCACCTTTTCTGTTGGTGTTCCTTAGGGGGAATGTAGATGAGGAAAGTATGGTCAGCCACTCTATCACTAACCAGAAGTAGGAAGCTAGATTCAAACCCACTGCACAGGCTTGGGAATAAGCTTTGGATTTTTTAACACATGAGTTTAATTTGGTGAATTTCTGTATCTTCCTAATATGTGGGCTTTTGTTAGAAAACCTATTTTGTGTTTGAGTTTCACTGTGTATTCCTTGAACTCATGTTTTGGAGGTGTCTTTACTGCAGTTGTTTAGGTTTTCTAATGTCACAGAAGCATAAAATCAGCAAGCACTTAGTCAAGGGACTGAATTTTTCCATGCTTGCAGAAATGTTCCTATTAAAATCCCTAGGGATCCCATTTAATGACTCTGTCATCACCACTCCTGTTCTGCTTAGGGAGGCACTCATTTTGGTAGTGTTGCCTTACTCTGCTTGGACCCATCACCATGTACTCCAAATTTAGTGGGAGAAATTCAGGCTCCTCTTGTGTCCTTGTCCTTAGTTTGGAGTAGGTCCAATATTCTTTGAGCAATGTGTTGTTACAGAACTTGTTTCATTTAAAAGTTGCTCTGGTACACTTACTTGCTGTTATATTTTGCATTTAAATATTGATGGCAGTATTTGGTGTTTAGAAGTTCTGTAGGTTACTTGGCCCATAGTTGTGTTATTTTGTTTGGAAGAGGAAATAACTGTTGTAAAAATGTATGCTTAAAAGGATCACTTCCAAACTACTGTGAATAGTATTTCCTTTCCCAAATGGTTTTAAAACCTGTATTTTACTATTACAATAACAGTTACCTAAGTAACTGCATATGAAATGCTTTCAAAATTGAGGCTGTTGCAGGAGAGGAGGGCAGTGAAGAGGGACATTTATTCATAAATGTCTTTTTCTACAAATTGTGGAACGCGAAAGCCGTGTGCTGTCATCAGTTTGTGTTGCTTCATGTGCAGGAGACCTTCTGACTATGGGGAATCATTTCTCATTATTGATGGATTTTCAGTAGTTGACTGTTGGCAGCCTGTCCAAATGATGTGGGCAGAAGGAACTTGAAAACTTTCTGGCAGGTTTGCAACCAGTGTGGACTGTAAAATAGCCTGTCTTTATTGAACTTCATTCTCTGTATAGTGATGCAGGGATAAGAATTGTTTGAAACAGAATTGCTAACGTGGCAGGTTTGCAGGGCCTTCGCAGTCAGCTTTGTCATGAAGAAGCAACTGGGCACATTAGTTAACACCATACAAGGTTCTCTGGACCTGCGTGGTTCTCCTCTCGAGTAAGTCCCATCCTTTGTTAGCATTTGCTGGATCATCAGTTCAGGAATGTCAGTAAGGTCTGAGGGAGCAGGCAGTGGAAAATACCCAGCTCCATCTGCAGCTGGATTTTAAGCTGCTTTGCACCTGTTAATTTTAAATACTGACAATCTAAGCTGTAAAACTGCACACGAGCAAAGAAGGAAAACCTTTAGATTTCCTCCATGTATATAAGTGCCTCCAAATCTGTGGAATACGCATGTTAAGAATGTAGGGAGAGCAGACAAGTCTCTGGTAGGTCATTATTACACTAAAATTCATACTCTACGCTGTAGGAGATTATGCAAACAAATAGTACAAAGATGAATTTCCATTTTTATCTGGTGAACAGTTGAATTCTGAGAAAGCCTGGTCCCATTTTCAGTCAAATTTGACTCATGATAGGCTTTTTCTTTATGAAAGTCAATCAGTACTGACTGACTTTACCTCTTAAGAGAAGTTAATTTGAGATAAAATTCTTTTAATATCTTTTCCTTCATGACTTGCTGTGATATCAAGCATAGCAATTTTGGAAACTATTCTGGAAAGGTTAAAGCAATAATTTCTGATTAGTGGTAGTATGATTTGCTCCAGTTGCATTGTTCAAAGAGCATTTTTCAGAAGTGTTTTTTCCTCTTCTGAGTATTCTGTTAGTCTTTTAAAAAAAGAGGAGGGGAACTCCTCTGCAGTTAAACTGGCTTTCATCTTCTCAATGGATGTTAACTGGTCAATAAATTGACCCAATATATATTCAGGTCTTAGAAATAACCTATTGTCGTTTTTAAATGGATTAGAGATAGAAGTTCTGTTCAAAAAAAGGCCATCAAGGTCTTGAGTTCCTGTTCTTGTGAGGAATAAACATGTACTTCATGTTATTTAAAACTGATATCTTCTCTATTAGGAAAAGATTGGAGTAATACAATGTGTGCATGTGCATCTGTGTGCACATAATCTTGCTAAGCTTGTGCCTCCTCTGTAGATTGACTCTGGATTTTTTCATGAAAACGATCTCAAGATAGTTGCGAAGTCAATACGTGACAGAGTAGCACTAATACTATGGAGAAGAGAGAGAATTTGGCCGAGGATGCAGTCAGAAGAACGTCGGGACTCTGAATGTCTGGAGAAGTTGAAGACGCCGCAGGCGCAGCAGGTCCAGGTCACTTACCTTTCTCACACTGGTCACCATGTCCTGTCGGAGTCGGAGGAGCCTGAGGCAGACCAGCATCCCTTCCAGCAAAACCTGCCCACCAGCGTCACATCTGTTGCCTGTAAGTCTCATGTTGGTTTTGTGGGCGCACGGTGATGGATGTCCAAGGGTGAAAATCAACGATGATCAGAGCTCAGTGGTGAGAAGAGCTGCTGTGTGTGTGCACAGTAGCTCAGGGAACAAAAGTGTCTCTGACAGTCGCATAACAATTTTGAAAGAAATAAAGTTTCAGGAAAAGCGATGTTATCTTGAGGTAGCTCCTCCTTCAGTAGCAATCAATGCAGAAAACGTAATGTATTCATAAATGGAAAAGCAAGGAGACATGCTGCTAGACACAAAAAAGACGTGTTTTCTGTGCCAGGTGGTGAGATCAACACTGAAGTTTGCGTGAAACGCAATTTCAGAGACTGCAGAAGTTGAATTGGCACCAGACTGGTCAGAGCAACTGGTGGATTTTCAGATGGTGTTGGCAATGTGGAGATGTTTAGTCAGAAGCAGACCTTGCTGGAACCAAAGCACTGCAGTTTCTTGTGTTTTGCAAGTTCCTCTTGATGGCTTGTGTGAAGTTTTGTGTGAAGCTGTGCAAAGGTCTGCAGCAAAAGTATCCATCTCTGAATGTTCCACGATGTAATTCAAGATTTCCCTGTTTTGTCGGAAATACCAACTGTGGTTTGGCCATGTGTGTTGGGAGCACCAGACCTTGTGGGTAGACACTGTCGTTATTCTTGAGGTCCCTAGGTCATGGTGCAGGTGCTCTCCCTGATCTCGAGGCTCTCAATTTTGTCCTGGGCTCATGGCCTTGGAGCAAGGGAGTGATCTGATGGTCATTAGGCAGGTTAGAGTAAGTGGTCCCTCTCGTTTGTCCAGGACCTGGTAAAATTTTTTGAGAGTTTCATTTTTGATTTTGTTTGTTGCTTTTTTTTTCCTGGCCAGTTTCTCTGAGAAAATTTTATGTATATATTTTGCTTACTAAACTATTATCATAATGTTTGTGTTTTACTGTTCTGGATTTTTATGTCAGCATATTTAAATTAAAGATGCATTATCTTTAGCAAGGAGACGGATGCTGCTTTAATTCAGGTATTGTGTAAATCTGCTTTGAATACTAAGGTAACCAAGTGTGCCTCCACAAACAGCCAAACCTTTGCAAGACAGGAGAAATGGCCATATTTGCATAACTCTCAGAATATCTCAGTATTTACAAAGCTTTTTTTCTGAAGCTGAAATGATCTAATTTCATTTTTTTAATTTCATGCTATTTGTTTCCTTTGAGAAACACCGTAATTATAACTCTCTTTTTTTCCAGTGGTACAGTGAGACTACTTGTGCTTCCCATGGTTCTGTTGGACATGAGTTGGCAGAATTTTATGCTAGATATAAACCCACCAGTTTATTTCCTACTCCTCTTCAACAATTCACTATCAGATGTCTTTGAACATTTTCTTAGTGATGTTAGGCCTAAGGCCTCTATAAGTTACTGCTCTAAGATCTCTTATAATAATCTGAGGTCAAATGTAAAATGTAGATTAATAAATGTGTGTAATGCACATTGTTCTATAAAATCTGAGGTTGACTCACAGCTTTTACTCTACCATCATACTCTTTTTTTTCTTTTTTTTTTTCCTCCCCGTTGAGGTCTTAAATAATTGTTTGTAATAAAATGGAAGTGTGTATGCAGCAGAAATCCCCACCACCTTAGAGTGGGGCCATGTTGACTCTTCTTAGACATGAGCTGCATAAATATAGAAAAGAGTTTAATTTAAAAAAAAAATGGTTGGGAGAATAGTTTGCAAATACCAAGGAGAAATGTCACCTCTGGTGCTATTAAAAATAATTTGTCATCTAAAAACCAAACAAGTAAAACCTTATTTGGAATATGGAAGAACAGAGAAGATAGAAAGCGTCAGAAAAAGAAATAGCATTTAAACTTATCTGTAATGTAAGCAATTTTTTGGTAACTGTGTTACAGTTTTCTTTCAGTTTTGAGTTTAAAATCTCTATTACAAGCAATTTGTCTTTTGGATACTTATAGCAATGGTCTTAATTGTCTCATTTGATTTCTCAAATGAAGAAAACAGTGGCTTATACTCAAGAAGAACTGGGCACCTGTAATTTAGAGGCTTCAAAAGTCATGAAAAGATGTTTTAAAATCAGCAATACTCAGCTGTACAGTTAAAAGGTTGATTTCTGTTGGACAAAAGATAGGATGCTTGCCTAGTGCCCGTATGGCCAACTCTGAATGGTACCCCTAAATCACTGCAACACTGCAAATTATTTTGTTATCTGTTCTTCGTATATATTGCTATATACTCAAGTAGGGTATGATTTGCTGAGCTAATAAAGCATATGGTATAAAGAATTTTGTAATTTTCAGTGCTACTAATACAGAGGATGCTAAGTCAGTGCATCCCTGGGAGTTCTAACTCTAAAAGACTCCATGATCTATTATGAACGTGACAATTGGGGTTTCCTTTCCTTTCGTCTTACAAAGTCTATAAACATCTGCAGTTCCTAATGTCAACCTAATGCCCTTTAAAGGAAACATAAATGTGCCTAAAATATCAGCGTGCACAGGAATCCATGGGGATGGTTTTTGGCTTAAGAAAAGCAGCGTGTGCCTTTTGTAGAGAATAACGTTTGAGTTGTATAATGTATTTATATAATGGAAAGGGCTAGGGTAGTAAAAATGCTAATTACATAAACCAGTGTTGACCTTGCTCTAAAATCATTACTTGAAGGTTTGGAGTTGTTTAGCTGTTTTAATATTGTCCTTTCAGCCGACAGCACATTTGACAGTGGCCAGGGGTCCACTGTTTATTCCGACTCCCAAAGCAGCCAGCAAAGCGTCATCTACTCGTCCCTGCCTGAGCCAGTCCCCCCAGCTCTCCAGCGGGTGTACAGCCCCCCTTTGAGCGAGAGCCAGCCTGCGCCCCACAGCCTTCAGCAGCTGGGCCACTACCAGCAGCCCTCAGGAGTAAGTCTCAAGCTTTTCAACATCATTTTGTGTCCTGAGTTGTACTTAATGGCTCATTTATATTGTGTTTGGTAGGTGTGGACTCCAAGGCTTGTTTTATATCCACACTCACCTCTGTCGATGGTGACTTGCTCAGTGATACGTTCCTAGTTGATCTGAAACGTAGATGGTTTTTTGTCCAGCGGTATGTGCCATCCTGAAGATGTGCTTCACTGGCAGCTGGCAGACTTTCAGTAAAAAAAGCTTCTTAGCAATCCATTGTCACTGAACTACGTTCACTGCAGTGATTAGTTTTAAACTTATGCACGTGTTTGAGAACTGCTCTGTTTGGCTTTGTTCACTGTCAGTTTAGCCACACACTCTTGTTCCGTCATTTGTTCAAGAGCCTCCTGAGTCTGATGTTTCTTCCAGTCATGACAAGGGTCACCCATCCAGTCACTGCCTCTGTGACTCTGGGTTTGGATTTAACCTTGCACATAGACAGCGATGTACTTCCATTACAGAGGCTCCAAAATCGAGCATGGGTAGCCCAGTCAGATGTTCGCACTTGCTCACCTTTTCGTGCTGTTATGACCTTGACTAAAAGCAATTAATGGAACCACTGGTGCAAGAACAAACACATGCGAATGAATGTAAATCTTCAGGAGCTTCCAGTGAAAGGCATAACGTGAGCGCATTGCATCCTTCAGAAGCTGTGGCAATGCCGTGTTCCCATTCCAGCCTGCACCCATTACACATGGTGGGCAGTGCTCGTGCTGCTTTTCACCACCACACCGACCCTGTTGTGGCTTTGATTCCAAATGCAGTGTCCTTTCCCCAAGAACCAGGAGAGGAGAAGGAGTATCTGCAGACTGGAGAAGAGGCAGCAGGCGCGTTATCGCTGGTGGCACTGGAGACCTCTGCAAACCCTGTGGAGCTCATGGTTCCTCCATGGCCTTGTCAGACATGCCTAGCCTGGTTATTTCAGCCTAGCCAAGATCAAAATGTGTCCAAAGTCTTGATGTCTGTTGAAAATGCTCCCTACCCAGGTAGCCAACTCCCTCGGTATGTCAATCTCTCCTGCACATCAGCAGGCCATGGGGCAGACACTTAGGCCTGCCTGTGTTACACGAGTCTTTACAATACATCATTAGCCAAAAGAGCAGTTATTCTCCCGGGAGATGTGCAGGAGTTGCAGAAACCATGCTGCCTGCTGAATCCTCTGATGGCGGAGAATCCTCTGACGTGCCGGGGCCATCCCAACCCTGCTGTAAGGGCTGCGCTGGCAAAGCACGGCTGGCACAGAGTGAGCTGGAGGGTGCAGCTGCCGTGAGCAGTGGAAGCAACCCCATTAGTAAAAGTGACAGTAGTGATGTGGTAGGTTATTTTTTTTGTATAGTTTCATCCTATTTAACTTAAGAAAATACAAAATGTAGGACCAATGTCTTTTTTAACCTGGTTGATCTGGATTTCTCTTGCATATTTGGGAAGTGCATAATTTTCCCTGGTTTTACCTTATATTTTCCAAAATGCGTACAAGAAATTATGAACTGTATTTGTGACTGTGTTGAAATGATGCTCTGTTTACCTGAAGGAAAAAAAAAATCCACCCTTGGCATCTGTAGCCAACTCCCTCTGCTGTGGAGTCCCACATGGCTCTGTGCAGGTGTCTGCTGGGATCCATCCTTCCTCCTTTCGTGGTCACCTGAAGCTCTGCCTGAACAACTCTATCAATCTTGAGCAGACTCTTTTGAATTAAATTGAGCTGTGCAGCGTACTCTTTTAGAGCAGACTCATTCTTTCCATTGATAGGTTTCAGTAATTTTAACCTATATGCATTACTTTTTTTTATGACTGAGGGTTTGGCAAGATGATAACCTTCATTCATGAGCAAAATATTTCTCATGGCCTTTTATTTTCTGATGGCCATCCTATATATTCTTCCTCTTGCAGTAACCTAGGTTAAAAGTTCCACGGTTTGAAAATCTCGACAAACACAGGATAAAAAAGTCTGACTCAAAAGCTTCTATTTTCCAAGAAAAAAGAAATCATTGTATTTATCTGGGAGATTATTTGCCAAGATGACAAGCAGATAACTGGAGCTGTTTTAGGGGTTGGGTTTTTTTTATGCTTATGAGCCTCAATCTGACATGCTGCTTGTTTTTCATTCATCTCCTTTGCTTGAGCTGAAGTTTTAGGGAACCGCTGTTGTTCCAGAACTTATCTGAATGTCTTTTTAATATGTTTGTTTGTTTGTTTTCACTTCCACTGTGGTTTTTATTTGTTTCTCATTTCTGTTTGTTTTCTTGGCATCCATTTCAAGCAAATTACCTGTTTTTTAGGATGATAAAGGTTCTTTATGAAATTACAAACATCTTTGTGACGATAAATTTCTGTTTCACCCAGTTAACGCCTTGTCGTTGCTGTTAGTATGGTCTCAGTCACTGTGCATGTGCTTTCAGTGGTTTTGCTGGTCTGCATGCTTGCTTCCAGAAAGAAATGTAATGCAGCTTGGTTGTCTTATTTGGAATTTGCCGTATTTTTTCCATGTATTAAGTAACTCTCCATTCCTTGCAGGTAATTTTTCATATTTTTCCCCTGTGTTTTCAACCAATTGTTTAAATTACTTCAATTTAAACTTCACTTGCAAAGATATTCTTGATGAAGTTGTTGTCGCAGGGTGACTCTCCTCTAAAGCAGCGCTCTTCCCCTGCAGCCTGGCCTCCCCGCAGTGCAGCCTGCGCCCCAGGTGCTGTCCCAGCGGCCTCAGCACTACCAGGAGCCGGCGATGCCGTTCCCCGTCGTCCAGCCCAGCACTGTCGCCTCCCTGCCACTGGGACAGCCACAGCCTGTGCTGGCCAGCCAGCAGGTGAGAGCTTGGCTGCTGCCAAAAACCTCTTTTCTCATCCTGTTCCTTACCCATGCTCTGCTCCAGCCCAGACATACAGCAAGTTAGAACCACAGCATGATTTGAGTGGGAAGGGACTTTAAACCTCCCCTAGTCCAATCCGCCATGGGCAGGGACACCTCCACCAGCCCAGGCTGCTCACAGCCCCGTCCAACCTGGCCTTGGACACTGCCAGGGAGGGGGCACCCACAGCTTCTCTTGGCAACCTGGGCCAGTGCTCACCAACCTCACAGGGAAGAATTTCTTCCTAATGTCTCATCTAAATCTCCCCTCTTTCAGTTTAAAGCCATCATCCCTTGTCCTATCACTCTATGCCCTTGTAAACAGTCCTTCCTCAGTTTTCCTGTAGCCCCTTCAGGTCCTGGAAGACTTCTCTAAGGTCTCCCCACAGCCTGTTCTTCTTCCGGCTGAACAACCCCAACTCTCTCAGCGTGTCCCCATAGGAGAGGTGCTCCAGCCCTTGATCATCTTTGTGGAAGTGTTTTAAACTATTGAATTCTTGAGAGACTTAGAGATGGGGCAGAGGGTGTTGGGTTTGAGGGGTGGCAGGCATGAGGACAGTCGTTGTGCAATACCTTGAGATGTCTTGATGTAGTTTAGAACTTCTATGTTTAACAGCATCCTTGCTTTGTTTTCAGTGTACTACCTTGGTGCTTAAAAATCAAGGAGTTTGCTACTTATTGTGCATTATTGTTAGGCACCTATTTGCTAAAAGGTTAGGAAGAGACCTTCTTGCTCGGTGTCAATTGTCATTAAGTCCTCAGCAATGCTGCTTTCTTGTGCATGTAGGTTAAATAGAGTTCAGTGTCAGCACCCTCCCCAGTAGCTTTTATATTCCAAGAGAAGGATCTTTGTCCCTCTGCATTGTTTCCAAATAGGAATTCTTTGTGCATTTTGAATTACCAAATTCCCCCTAAAACCTGAGTTTTCTAAAGGTATTTACAAACCACGTCTTTCCAGCAGTGGAGGGGCAGCTGCAAAGGCTGCAGTCGCCTCTTCGTGCAGAGGTGATTGGCCATAAGGAATGTAGCTGCAGACCTGTGAGACCTGGTAATTCCTGGTTCATTTTTGTAGTTCTACCAAAAACTTGACTTCCTTCAGTAGAAACTGCTGACGGGGCTGGGGAGTGCCTATGTAGTTTGTGACAGGCATCTATCATACATCTCCAGACCTTTTCAGTGATCAACTTCCATCTCACAGGTTACCTTTTTTTAATTTTTAACATGCCTTATTCTTCTGAAGCATCTGTAGAGGAACAATGTAATTTGGTTTCTTTGAAAAACATACGCTGATGTGAAGTTTTGTGAAATACCAGGTTTTTTCTAATGGGCAGGGATCTTCTCATGATTCTCTGAGCCAAAATTTTTACACTTATGCAAATGTAGGACCTCACCAGTTGCACAGATCTCTCAAGTGACCTCTGGAGCTTTATACTGACAGTTAAAAATCTGTTGTTTATTTTCCCCCATAAGTAAATGCTGGTTTGGAATAGAATATTTGCCCAACTTGCTCAATTTTTTTCATATGCCCTTTCCCCACAGCATGGCTGTCTCTTGAAATAATTATATCCCTGATACTAAAAGGTTTTAATAACTTGGCTGTCTTTGTTTTCTAATCTTGCTGGGAAGCTCAATAAAAGACTGACTTTTTACAGTATTATTATTACAGAAATAAGTAAAATGGTAAAGTTGCTGTGCAGAACTTCCCAGCCTTAGAGACAGAAGCAGGTTTGGTGTTCCCAGAGTCTCCAGGCATGCTGCTCTGCGCAGTGGAGATATGCAGTCTTTTGTAAGGGAACTTTAGGGCAGATCAACAAAAGAATGGGAAATCAGGGTGTGAAAATTCATCTGCCTTACAGAATGCAGTGTATTGATCTTGTGTGAATATACACTCATGGTGCAGACACATGGGATCAATGCTACATCTCCTAATTATTTTTTTATCCCAATTTTGCGTGTCTGCATTTAGAATGTAAAGATTTTAATGAGGCAAAGTTAGCACAATGCATTTGGATATTTTCCCCTCCCTATGCCTCATCGTCAAGTGTTTTGTAAAACACAAGTTGAATTTGAAATGCGGGCTTTAGGAAGCTCCTTTGTTCTGCGAGCGCAATTTTTCTGCTTCTAATGCAGCGTCCTCTCGAGTTGAAGGTGGGTGGAGCAGCTGGGTCGGTGTGCTCAATCCTTGGTTATCTGGGGCAGCCTGTCTGAGCTGCAGATTAACCCAGCCTGGGACGCTGAGGTACCTGAGCTGGCTTTGGGTGCTGGCAAGGCTTATTAGCTCCAGCCCAGCACCGGGTGTGGGTGGCTGTTCTGCACCTCAGGTTGGGTTGGGTCTTGGCAGGGGTCTCCCATGCTGCAGAGCTTGTGCTGTAGGATGAGTGGGGTCACTGTGAGTGCCTTGGGTGGGCTCCATCTCAGCTGATTTGGTCTGTCCCATCACCAGCGCCAGGCTGGCTCCTGCTGAGCCACTTGTTTGCATCGGTGCTGCCGTTCTCTTGAGTTTGGCCTGGACAGGCATACTCCTTGGTGGGTAGAAAACTGGCTGAATGGCCAGGCCCAAAGAGTGGTGGTGAATGGAGTTAAATCCAGCTGGTGGTCAGTGACAGGCGGTGTTCCCCAGGGCTCAGTACTGGGGCCAGTTCTGTGTAGTATCTTTATCAATGGCATAGATGAGGGAATCAAGTGCACTCTCAGTAAGTTTGCAGACGACACCAAGCTGGGCAGGAGTGTTAATCTGCCTGAGGGTAGACAGGCTCTGCAGAGGGACCTGGCCAGGCTGGATCGATGGCTGAGGCCAATTGTATGAGGTACAGCAAGGCTAAGTTCTGGGTCCTGCACTTGGGTCACAACCACCCCATGCAGTGCTACAGGCGGGAGGAGGAGAGGCTGGAGAGCAGCCTGAAGGACCTGGGGTTGTTGATTAAAAATCAGCTGAATATGAGCCAGTGATTTGCTTGGGTGGCCAGGAAGGCCAATGACATCCTGGCCTGTATCAGCCATGGTGTGGCCAGCAGGAGCAGGGCAGGGATCCCTCCCCTGTACTGGGCACTGGTGAGGCCACATCTCTAATCCGATGTTCAGTTTTGGGCCCTTCACTCCAAGAAGGACACTGAGGGGCTGGAGCATGTTCAGAGAAGGGCAATGAAGCTGTGGAGGGTCTGGAGAACAAGAATTATGAGGAGTGGCTGAGGGAGCTGGGGCGGGTCAGCCTGAAGAAGAGGAGATTGAGGGGGGACCTTATCACCCTCTACAGCTCCCTGGTAGGATGGGGTAGTGAGGGGGAAGACAGTCTTTTCTCCCAGGTAACAAGTGATGGGATGAGAGGAAATGGCCTCAAGGTGCACCAGGGGAGGGTTAGGTTGGATATTAGGAAAAATCCCTTTACTGAAAGGGTTATCAGGCACTGGCAGGGGCTGCCCAGGGCAGTGGTGGAGTCACCATCCCTGGAGGGATTTAAAAGACGGGGAGATGAGGTGCTCAGAGACATGGTTTAGTGGTAGACAGGTTATGGTTGGACTCGATGATCTTAAAGGTCTTTTTAAACAAAATTATTCTGTGCTTTGGGATTTTAATTGGATAAATGCCCCTGCTTTCCCAAAACCTGCAGTGTCAGAAGCTGCAACCCAGAGCCATGTCATCATTTTTTTTCTTTTTTGTGGCAAGGTGAACACTCAGGCAGGGTTAATAAATGCTGCAGGAGCTGAGCTGATGCTGTGCTGATTCGGTGCCATCTCCAGCATGTCTTGCACTGCCTGTGGCATTCGTTTCAGCTCTGCATGCTTGATACAAGTTGCCAAATACTCCTGTGTTCACTGTTACATACTGGAAACACACCAGTTGTGGTTCAGTTTTAGCTATTTAAGAGTGGACAGCATCTTGCTTCCTTGATATATCTGTAGTTTTACTATATGAATACTTAAAAACTGGTTGAAGAATCCTGCCATTAAAAAAGGGCAGAGCAAAATATGATGATGGAAGTGGCAAAGATGAAAAATTAGAGTGCTTGGTTATTTATTTTAAACTTCCCATCAAGCATGGTGTTAGATCCTATGTGCTGCAGAGCCTGGAGCAAGTAAGCAGCCCTGTGGTCCCCAGTAGGTGAATCTGGAGCCAACTTGGTGCCTCAGTGCCATGCTTCTGAAACAAGATTTTGGTTTTTTAAGTCCTTTCAGCATTCAGTAGAGGAACTGCAGAAGGAGATACCAGTAACATGGAAAATGCCGAAGTTTGTTACTGGTTATTTTCAGCTTTTTTCATATTATGCAGCTTTTTATTTCTGTTCCACTGTATAAAATCTGCAGGCCAGTGGAGCACTTTTTTTCCTGGAAGGGTAAAACTGCTTTTTTGGCTGCCACATTGTTGCTACAGTACTTCAGAAATAACTGGGATCTGGCTTGTACTATAATTATTGTGTTTTATTCATGTCTCAGATAATAAGTGTTGTGTATTTCAATGCCTGCTACATTCGGTAGTCAGCTTTTGAACGCCAAGATTAGCTGAGTATAATCTGCATAGTAGGAATGTTTTAAGTTAGTAGGTGGCGATTTTACAGGGCCAGCTAGAACAGTCTCCTGGATTTAAAGAGTCTGAGTCACTACAAATAACCTTTCCAAGACAGTTAGAACTTGTCTTTTCAGGTAATGTACCTTGCATTTAAATGTGTGTTAAACATAGGCTCTTGTACAGTGTTTAAATTAGGAGTGCCCTTCTCTTCTGTAAACTATCCCTGCTCTGCACCACAGTTCTGTTCAGGCTGTGCGCCTTGGACTGGAGTGAAAAGGGTGCCTGTGTCCAGTGAACTCATCTTTTTGTAATATACAGGCTCTAACCTCATTTTATTCTTCTTTTCTTCCCTAGCAACAACCCATATCACAGCAGGCGTCTCTGCAGCAGGTGCTTGCCAGCCAGCCAGTTTGCCCACTCCAGCCTGCGACCCACCTCTTGCCCCAGTACTCAGCGCAGAGCTCTCAGGTGGCAGCCACCAGCACGCCGCTGAAACCCCTGCAGATTTCCACCGTGCCACAGCTTCCGCCGGTGGCCCCTTCCCAGGTAATATCTTTGAAAACCGCGTGTGAATACATCCGTTTGAGTAAAGCTTTCCAGCTAATAATTAACTTGATTTGCAGTTTTTGTGTGGCTGTTTGGAATGCATGCCAGTTTAATTAGTCTGTAGGAATATAGCTTTTTCTTGATTCCTGTCTTTTTCTTTACTGTTTCTTTTTGTTTGGTGAAGCAGAAATCTCCTTTGTGAGTAATCCTGTGTCATGCCTATAGAGTCCAGTTAATGGCAGTTACAAAGTTGCAATAACTGCTTTCTTTTCTTTTTTTTTTCCTTTTTTTGCACCTTCCCCTACAGCATACTCTCTTCCCCACTCCAGGCATTGAGCATGAGAAATTGCCCATTTTTTTTTCCTGTTTCTGAGCTCCTGACTACCCCACTTTCCCCACTGCCCACCCACCCTCCTCCCTAGCTCTCAGCCCTGTTTCAGTTTTCAGGGACAGAGCCTTTCCTGGGCCTGGCAGGGTTTGCTGGTGCTCTTAGTGGGTTTGCTGGTGGCAGCCACCACGATGTGAAGCAGCTTGCGCCCAAGGGAAGGCACAAGCTGCTTCCGTGATGACGACAGTCTGTAACGTCATGGGGAGCTTTTGATTGTAAAAGCTCTTTTATGGGGTCTTCCATGCTGCCTGGGTCGCAGCTTGTTTAAAGACAAGGTTTTTGTGTTGTCTTACTGAATTTTGCATGCAAGAGTTTTGCATTTTGTCTGGTCCAATTTCTTTACATTTCTGTTAAAATGAAAGCAGCTTTTAATTAGTATGTTGCTTGAAGGCTTCAAGCTAGTGTTAGAAATAGTTTTAAGCTTCTAAGGTATAAAAATGTCCCCCTGAAATGAAATTCTTTCTCTTTTAGTAACGACTTAAGCATAAATCAGTTTTTATTACTGTTTATAGACCTTGGGAAATGAATGGAAGTGATTAACAGACAGACATAATTATCATTATGACACAGGTGGTTTTTACATACTTGTATGGCAAATGAAACTACTTTGTACCATCAGCGAAAGCACTTGCAATTTATGTGATATTATATTTTTTTCAGATTCCTCAGTTTCCTGTCATTCCTGCAATCACTCCTCTGGCAGGACTTGACAGCCTTCCTCCAAACCTCTCTGATTTACCTGCTGCAAACGTGCCCCCCATCCCTGCTCCTTCTCAGTATTTCGCTCCGGCCGTGATTTTGCCCAGCCTCCCCATGAACCCCACGCTGCCCCTGGCCCCCAACTCCCCTGCCCTCCCCATGCAGGCCGTCAACCTGCCCCACACCACCGTGGCTTCTTTGGTCTTGCCCTGCCAAACAATAGTGCCAAATATGTCGGCTGCTACGATCCCATTGCTTGCCGTGGCTCCACCGGGAGTGCCAGCGTTGCCCCCGCACCCCGGGGTGCCCCAGCTCTCCCAGCAGCAGATGTACCAGACCACCTTCCAGCAGATCATTCAGAGCGAAGCGCCCTCTCCCCATCACACGCAGAGCACGCAAGCAGTGTCTCAGCCGCAGCAACCTCCACCTCCTCAGTCACTTCAGCCAAGCATAATCCATCCTTCCGAACAGCCTCTGTCTGCGCCTGGGGCTGGGCACCAGGTAATCATGGGGCTGTGTCCATCCTGGACCCTCGGGTGGTCACCGAACCCGGGACTCGCTCCGTTGTATTCATGCGATGGGGAGGTTTTGGTTTGGTTTTGGTTTGGTTTTCTTTTCTTTGCTCTTAATATGGTTTGTTAACTTCTCAACCTTGGTCCTGGAGGTGTTTGCTAGAGCTGGGAAGTCAGGTGAAGCAGGTGAGGTCTTAATCCAGGGACAGGAGAATCTCGAGGGCACATAGGGAATAATCTCATGGGCTTTGGAAAGCACACAAGAGCACTTCTTGAATTCCCTCTTCTTCCTTCTCTCACCTCCAATATGAAAGTTGTTGATCTCCTGTGGCAGGAGGAGGGGCTGAGCCGTGGCAGCAGCCGTGCAGCCTCGCTGGTGCCTTTGCTCCTGCTGCAGAGGCTGTTGTACGCTCACGGCAAAACTTGGGTGAGCTGGCAGGGGTGACAGAGTTGTTTTGGAAACAACAACAGAAAACAAACCTGTTGTTTTGGGAACAACAGCAACAACAACAACACAAACTGCTGTTTGTTTAAAACAGCAAAGGGAAATGGCCATTCCATAATGACTCCAGAAAATGGCAAGGAAGGGGTATATCAGACAAGAACAAATTCAACCTGCAGATCCTTTCCCCCTGAAAAGAAATGAAGTGCAAAATGTAGTTTCTAATATTGGCACTATTTACAAGAGAGCTGCTTCAGGGCTTGTTGACAGAGTCTGTAAATACTTTGATTGCCGCATCTGTGATATGACAACGTGAAATGCAGGCTGACCCAACAGGAGAGAGCACTAAATCTGTTAATAATAGCGTCCCTGAAAATCTGTGTTCTACTACATCACTTTGCCATAACATATTGATTAAAATTCATAACATCCCATTTCAACCTGCCATATCATGGCATCCTCAAAGCGGTACATCACTTTTAGATTTCTCTCTTCAGCCGTATATTTGGTACAGAAATATTGTTTGTGAACATGCAGGCAGCCCGGAGCCCAAGATGGTTCCTGCCGAGCTCGTTGGCCATAGCGTCTCCAATGGCTTTAGAGGGAGTTGAACCTGTTACGCACAGCAAGCACGGCAAACACCAAAACTGGAGAACTGAGATTCCCAAACAGTCATTTCTGGCTCAGTCATTATCTGTCAAATATGTATGGAAGAATTGCATAGTAGGTTTTTTTTTAGGATAAACAAAATGGACAAGTGCAGAAGAATATTAAAAAAACTTTTTCTATATTTTAGAGTACTTTTATTGGGGAGGTATTTCTGTAAACCAAGGCTTTCCAATGCACTGCTGCTTTGGCAGTTGATGTTTAGCACCTCTGAGTTTACTTTTGCCCAGGTAAATTATACATGGAAACACTTTGTGAATTGTTCTAGTTACATTAGAATTGTAAAGAAAATTTCGCTGCTCTCCTGTACTGTACACCACAGTTGCTTTTCTGTCAACCTCCACTTAGGCAGTCATGTAACTGTTGTGTGTTGCAAAGGACACTGCATCTTTTATTCCAGGTTTTAACGTGGGTAAAAATACAATTCCAGGTCATATCCAGAATCTGCAAAGAACATGCAGTAATAAAATTGTGTGGCCTAGTTCTCATTTGAGTCTTGATATTTTTTTAATAAATTCTTCAAATGGTCTAAATCTCTAGGTGATGGTACTTTAAAAAAAGTAAAAATTAGGCAAAGTTTTTCCTGGTACTAAAAAGTCTTTTTTCTTCCATATTTTTCTTTCTTTCCTTTTTTCCTCTTCCCACAAGCTCAGTCCCCTTGGAAAAATACACACTGTACCTAAAAGGAGAATGTTCTGTTCTTAAATGTACACCCCAACAGAACTGTTATGCAGAATAACAACAGCGTCTCTAAGGTAGCTGGCATCTAATCACATCGGTCCAGTTCCCACAAAGTGCTTACGCACCCGAGTTATTTTAAAGCACTGAAGAAATCCACCGAGAGAAATGAAGCTTCCTCTGTCGCAGAGGCGTTTGCAGGGTTGGGGCTTAGCATGTCAAGAGTTAAGTCGTGTCATAAATGTTTAAATGGAAAACAACGGTTTAAATGGAAAATACACTGGTGTATATTTGGTAAAACAGTTAATTGTGTGGTCTATGCCAGCTACTGGTTCTACACATAAACCAGATTTTTTTTAAAAAATAATCCTCATTTAGATTATGGGTAGAACGTCTTTTTCTCTGCATGGACACTGTGGTACACTCATTGAAAGCAGAGAAAACTATCTAGGATAGTGAATTCATAATCTAAGATTTTAATTTCTTAGCAAAATATGGCTTTGTTTCCACAAATTAAATAGCACTGGAGCAACACACACATTGTCGTAGTTACACAGGGAGAATCCTTAGATTTCTGTTTGGTTGATTCAAAGCAAGTTTAAACTTTTAAGCAGTTACGTTTCCAAGCAAAGACCACACAAATACGGTCTCGCTGCAGAATTACACCCCTTTCTCCAGCGTTAGTGCCTTGTCGCGTCAGTCGCGCGCAGAGATGGGGTTTAATGGCCATGTGTTGTGTCCCAGCAGCTGCCTGGCCACCCGCAGTACGCGCTGGAAGCTGGAGCCCAGGCGCCCGTGCTGCCCGTGCAACCTTCGCTAGTCATGTCGCCACCTTTGCAGTTGCAGCCTGACCCGCTGCCTCCCCGCGGCGCTCCGGAAGGCATCGCCCAGCTCCATGGCAGCCTTGCTACGGCGAGTCCGCCTGTCCCCATAGATCACCCTCTGCCTCTCCAGCCTTCTGCTCTGCTGCAGCTTCAGCCCGAGCTTGCCCAGCCGCTGGGTCAGCAGCTCCCAGCTCCCTGCTCAGCCGGCCAGGCAGTCGCAGAGACATCTCAAGAGGTAGAGCTGTTTCCTCCAAAGTATCTCACCAGCTTCACACTTAACCTTCGCTCTTACTCCTTGGTGAAACAGTGAGCTCATTTCACAAAGGAGATTGGCCCTGCTGGCCGTACGGAGCCGCTTGTCCTGGGTGCTAGCACCTCTGGGTCAGCAAAAAATTGGCTATTTCAAAGGAACCTGTAAACTGCATGTTGTACCTTGGAAAACGGCTCCTTGAAGTAACGAGGCAGCAGGACCTCTTTGTCCATAGCTGAGCACAGGCATAGAGCTAGAAATTGCTTTCTTTAAGTGCTGTGGGTCTGTAAGAAGCTGTTCTGTAGCGTTGCATCCATGTTTTGTCCAGTCTTGTTTTAAATGTTTCAAGCACTTGTGCAACCAACCGTCATTTGCCTTAAACTTTCATAATTTGATTCTTCACTGTGTAAAAGCTCTTCATGCTCCTCAGCTTGAGCCTTATTCCCATTTCATTTAGCATTGTATCCTTCTGTATTGCCCAAATTCTAGTCTAGCCCTGGGGTTTTTGTTTCTTCAGATATTCATAGGCATCCCCAATTCTCAGTGGTCATATAAGCAAGATACATTTTATTGGTTTTCTTTATAAAACTGTCAGTTCCTCCTGTCTGCTATTTTGACTTTTCTTTCCACTCCCATAATTGCTTAACCTTCAGTCTTGACAGAAAGTCACAGAATGTTTCCTTCTCTTTAACTCTAATGGATACCCATAAGAAAAGCAAAACAAAGAGTTTGGCATTTGTTACCAGATTTTTGTAACTTAGAATGGAAATGTCCCTCAGCAATTCTGCTTTCAGAATTGTCCTTTTTGAGGCTCTCTGTTCTGAGCTACCTTTCCTCCCAATGTAAGTTTATATCGTATCAAACTAAATCTCATTTTTTGTTTGTTTTTACCTATGCTTCCAAGCCCTTGCCACATGCCTTGACCACACAGCACAAGCTATGCACTTCATTAGAGGCACAGCTTAACTCCTCTTCCAGACGATGTTCAGTAAGGGTGCTGCTAACTGAAACTGGATTTGACTTCCCCATTTTGCCTGTCCTTCTAGTGACAGTCTAATTCTTGTCAAATGAATATTTGTGCTGTGACGCAGGACTTTTCCTGGAGAATTTGTGGATCCTCTGGGTTAGATACAGCAGAAATGGTAGAACCAGTCTGTAGTGCTTCACTTGCCTAAACCCCAGTAAAGCCTGGCTGTGTCAGGTGTATCCCATACTTGAGGTATTTCTCCTCCAACTGCCTTTTTTTCTGTACACACAGCTCCTGGCAGGTTCACTGCTGATGCCAGAGCTACAGCCTTCAATGCATTAGGGATTCAGGAAATACAAATAACCTTCATTGTTATTGTGCAGTGTGATATGAGGGATACATGTTGTCCTATGTTACCTGAGAGATCCATGCCTGCTGAAGCACGTGTCTGTCCTGTCACTTTATCATAACCCTAGGAACATTTAACCCCTGTTTTGCTAACTTCATGCTCATATTTAATCTGTAAGTTAACTCCCTTCTCTCATTCAAATTAAGAAACCAAGCCAGTATCGTTGGATGGTCAAATTGATCAACGTGCTCCCCAGGCTGATTTTATAACATATATTGCTACGGTTTTCTTGGGTGTAAAAGGAGTTTCATATCTGTATGTATTTAAAACACTGCATTCTGTTGCTGCTCTGCCGTAACGCTTTTTTCTCTCATCTTCTGTTTAAATGTGTGGCAGTACTCGCATCCAAACCAATCTGAACTAATCAGGCAAATGAGATTTTGTAAGGCACTTGGTGAAGTGCGTTACTAAAATTCAGATACATTATGTCTGTGTTCTCACTGTTCATTAATTTGGCAGTTTTGTTGAAACTGCAGTCAAGCTCGGCATGGCGTATGTGTGGCATTGTAAGTGATGTGTGGGGGTGACTGGTTAACCACTAAGCTTCTCACTTCGGTCTACCAGCTGCTTTGGTATTCAGATGGCGGTTAAGGGGCTTGTGTGCAGCTGTGTTTCTATAGAAGGACTTCATAGACACGTGTTTGTCAAAATATATATGTATAAATATATATATGAAATTATATATATTTATGAATATATTTGGGGTGTGTGTATATACATGCAGTTATATACATGCACAGGTCGGGATGTGTACCTGTATGGTAAGTGTTGCAGTAGGGCCAGTACCATCGTCATCACAAATTCTGTGAAAACAGGCATAGCTGATGTGAAAGTCGCGCTGTCAATGTCTGTCCTAGCATTGCAACCAGTGAAGAGGGAAGCTTTTAGGGAAAATTTCTGTTGTGTAGAGAGCAAGAGGACATGATATGAGAGCCATGTTTTTAAATGATGAATTTTTATCTTGTAAGTTCCCCAGAAATTTTCACAGTAAAGCAAATACAATGAAAATACTTGGCATAGTTCAAGAAACTACAAAACAGTGAAACAAATTAGCTTATACTTTATGTACATTCAAAAAAAAACCAAAAGATTGGGTAGATGCTGATGTGGAATTGTCCTGCAATCAGGTTTTTCCACTGTGGTGAGAGCTGTTTTGTTCTTTCACCACCTCTTCTGCTTCAGAGACAGCAGAAGTGGACTAGCAGCTTAGGGGCTCTGTCTTAAAAAGGAGTTGTGTACAGATGTTGATGCTTTGGACAGAAGCAACATTGGGAGGGTACAACGGGGCATTTATTTTTTAACAAGTTCCAAGAATTAGTTAAGCAGAACAGTTTAGTGTTACTGATGTCTCAACAGCAATGCTTGCTTAAAGGTGTTTTTCATCTGCTGATAATATGCATTTACTTAAATTACTTTTTCTTACATTTTAGGAGCAGGCAATACAGGACAAACTTCAGACTCTGTCACAGAGCTGTGAAAGGTATCATTATAATCTCTTTTCTTTCTGGAGGCTGGTTTTCCTCTCTACAAGGCTAAGCCTTGGAAAAAAAGGCTAAGCTTGGAAAAGCCTGGCAATTGGCTTGGGAGAGGAGCAGCAGGAGGTGACCAGGAGAAGACAGAGGGGCGCACACCTAGTCAGAAAGGCGCAGCTGTTGTGTGCAGAGTGCCCATTTGAGGTCCTGCAGCTCTTTTAATTCTTTAGTTTGGGTGTTGCATCCTAGCCTCGATGTATGTACAACAGCTTTCATTTCAGCGTGTGGCCTCTATTTGTTAAGATAACTGAAGTGGTACAGTACCTCCTTTGGATGCCCATGAATCTGTATAAAGACATGCCACGCTGGTTTAATTTGGTGTGTGGTTTATTTCCTCTTTGCACTCTATTATCTTCCATAAAGATTTTTCCCCAGGTATGTAGTGTCTGGGTGAGAGCTGTGTGTTGAGCCCCTCCAAGGTATCGCTACAAGGGTTAGAGCACACGGCCAAAGCACACTCTGTGGTTTTGCAGTGCCTGAGGTCACGCTTAAGCCTAGGGATGCTAATGGCAGAGCTAATGATAAATAACCCGCAAAGCTAGCTCTGCACTCCTCTGAAATAAAAGCAAATGTCAATTTTTGCCAGCCCTCATCTGCCTGTTTCTGTGCACAGAAGCTAAAGGGGAAGCAGCAAGGTTTGGGAGGAGGCAGTGGGGAAGAGCTCTGGAGAGAGAGTCTTACTGCTCGGCTGGATTGGGGCTGACTGGGGACAGTGGCTGCTGCTTCGAGAGCAGGACTGCCCTCCCCAGGCATCTGCTGCTCCCGTCTTGCCTCAGCATCAGCAGTAAGCCAGGCTTTTCTGTGGTTGGATATGGATAAGTGTCCTTTTTTAATTTTAGATACAAATACTGTGTGTTCATAAGCAGCTGAATGCCTTGCCCGAAGCAGGAACCAGTGCCAACTTCATCCTTATTGATTATATAAAGCTTTGGGGTTAGGATTTTAGTGACACTTTTCTATTTTCCTGAATAGACGAGTTAAGTGTATGAACTTTTAAACAGCTCTCTCTTAATGTTTTCATTTTACCCCACCAAAAATGTTAGCCTAACACAAGTCAATGCAGCTCTGCAACCTTAAAATGGAACCTTTTTTCCCTCAAGAGTTTGCTGCTTTTAAATACTGTGTGGAAAGTGACATCTAATTTTTCATGACTATAAGTTTGTTCTGTCTATAAATAAGATTTAGTCAGATTTTCAGTCATCTTTTGAACTGTCATTTGAAAAGCTGACTGTCGTGACTGCAGCAGCACGGAGGGTCTGTGTCAGCACCCTCACAGTTGTAGAGGGAGGTCTCTTTTTTTCCAGGGGCACTGGTAACTCAGTGCTGGAACTGGATTGTGCTTTTGTAGAGCAGAGGTAGCAGCACATAAATCAAATGGCTGGCAGTTGCAGCAAAGATGCAATCTGGAGTGTATCCTCTGCGCAAAATGCGTTTGCTTTCCTAACGTAGCAATTATGCATCCAAGGGAATAGAAATAACCTGGTTTGTGCAACTAATGCAGAAGAAGGAAATAAAGGCCTTAAATTTAAGCAAGGAATCCATAGGTTAGACTTTCATTCCTTTGTGCCTTTATGGCTAGATGAACACAGGAATAAATTGCCTGGGAAGGTTTTGAAGCTTTGTAAGATGAGTTTACACAAACCTCTGTGAGGACTGGTTACAGCTGATCATACCTTGGGGTAATAAATAGGCCAGATGGCCTTACAAAGTTCCTTCCTGATGTGGTTTATGAACCTCTGAAAATTTACTGTAATTTGCTTGTATGTTGATGTTTTCTGCACAAGTCATTTCAATGAGGTTGCCCAGAGAAGCTGTGGGTGCCCCCTCCCTGGCAGTGCCCAAGGCCAGGTTGGACGGGGCTGTGAGCAGCCTGGGCTGGTGGAGGTGTCCCTGCCCATGGCAGGGGTTGGGCTGGGGGAGCTTTGAGTTCCCTTCCAACCCAAACCACTCTGTGATTATGAGGTGTGGTAGCCAGAGTTACTTGCCTGGCCTGGGAGTAGTTCCTTTCACTTACTGATTGTCTTTCAATAGCAGGCTCAGTTTGCGCCAAAGGAGTGCAGATGTGCACTGGTTTTTTTTGCAGTCTCTGTTGCTGTGTATCTTACCTATGCCTAACTCCATTGTACATGATGGTGGTTTTATTTTGGATTTTTTTTCCTTTCTGTTACAAAGCTACATGAGTCCAGATGTTGCTTCGGGTAAGGAGATGAGTGACAGCTTTGAAGGAGCAATTGGAAGTGGAAAACAGGAAGGAAAGTCTTCAAAGAAACATAAAAAATCTACACGCGCTCGTTCACGCCAGGAGAAGTCCAGCAGACCCAAACTGACCATATTAAATGCAAGTACAATCTCTTTGAGGCTAACCTGGGGATTCCTTTGGCCTTGCTGGCAATAACCATTGTGAACCTTTGCCTGCAGGTTTGTAACACGGGCGATAAGATGGTGGAGTGCCAGCTTGAAACACACAATCACAAAATGGTGACTTTTAAGTTTGATTTGGATGGGGATGCACCAGAGGAGATTGCCACTTACATGGTAAGACTTGGGGATGCAGCTGCCTGTGGCCTCGTAAAGCACCAGGTTGCTTCTGCCAACTTACTCTGCTGGGTTCTTGCTGACCCAGCTTTCTGGTAGCTGTGGAACAGGGCATTAATCAAAACATTACCATTTTCCTCTTTATTTTGCTGTGGCCTTACAGGTAGAGAATGAATTCATATTGCCAAGTGAAAAAGAGACATTTATTGAACAAATGAAAGATATTATTGATAAAGCAGAAGATATGCTCAGTGAAGATACAGAAGGAGAACGAAGTTCTGATCAGGGCACGAGTCCCCAGCAAGATACCGATAGACTGGAAATGAGCGAGGTAAGAAACGTTAAATGAAGATTGTTAGTTTGATTCCTTTTTCTTAGCAGCCAGTTACTGTGTTAAGAAAAATATATTACCTAAAAAAAAAATACTGTTACTCTATTAAGGCTTACAATAAGAGTGCTCCTTGGAATGATGCTCCTCTTGTGTTGATATGGGACAGTTATTTCTTCCATGTTTTGGTTTTCTTTTTTTAACAGGAGAAGCGGCAGTCTCAGATGAAGACACCTGTGTATCAACAAAACGGTAAATCTCCTTTGAACACAAACCTAACCTCAGGCTCTAAGGCAGTGATGAGTTTATGCAGGAGTTTGCTAGATCCAGGAAGAAATCCACCAGTTACTGGTGGTTGGAAACATATCTGGAAATCTGGGTATGGCCGTGGTCCCTGCTGTTAGCAACCTTGGAGATGGCAGGGCTGACCTGGATGAATCTGACATCTGGGGATGCTTAGGGAAGCCCTGAATTCCACAAGCTGATAATCAGTGGTGGACCGTCAAGAAGGTACGGGCAAGCAGCTCTTTTCACAGCAGTAACTCCATTTGCAAGAGAAAGCTAGAAGATTATGTCTGCATTGGTAATCTAATTGAAATTTCTAACCCATGAGTTTTCGGCTACTTCAGTGTTACAGGGGGGACCTTGGCCTACTTTATACAGTTGTATCTTAGGGTTTTCACAGACAAACGGGATGGGAAGGGAGTTGGTCCTTGGTTCTCCCTTGGAAAAAATGAAACCTTGTTGTTTCCAAAATTCTTGTTACTGCGTGTGGGGCTGTGTATTTGCTCCATGCTTACAGAGGAAGAAGGACAATGTAGAACTTCTTTAACAAGTGCAGAAACCAGGTAATCCTCCAAATCAGACTTTCTGCTCGAAAGGTCTGGTTTATTTTCTATTTCTATTTCTACTAAATGGAAGTAAAAGTGCCATTTAAATGTGCCAGCCTCTGTGGAACGAATATTAGCTAGAAAACTTCCAACATGGAAAAGTTAAGCTGGATAAACTTTACAGAATTAATAAATTTTTCATTGTGAGAAAACTGTCCACGGTACCAGTAATAAAATTTTCATGCACATAACTGTTAACCTTCTGAAAGTATGACCGTCTTAAATTTTCAAATAACTTAAAATATGTGGCAGAATTGGAAGGCATCACTCTCTCCCAGAAGGGATGAGAATCAAATTAGGAGCTGTTGATTTAATCTTGGCTAATAGTGTAGAAGTTCTGATTTTTTTCTAAACATGGAAATTAAGACTAGGTTTTGACAGATGATCTGGAATGAATGGAATCTATTGTGGTTAATTTTTTAATTTTCTTTTCATCTCTAGTTTTGCATACTGGGAAAAGGTGGTTTATTATATGTCCTGTTGTGGAAAACCCTACCACTGATGCACCAGAATTTTCTCCGCCGGTACCTCAGAGTACACAGCAGTCTGAGGGTCCAGGTATTTACAAACCATATAAAAAATATTTTCTTCTCTGAAGCTGCTGTGTGATCTCTTTTCTATGCTCACCCAACTTAGCTGTGATAGTTTCATTTCATTTAGTCAGAGGCAGAAAATTGTGATTTTTATTTTTTTTTTAAGTCATGCATTTTAAGTATGTTTCTGGTTTTGAACCAAATCAGGGGTGTTTATCTGAGTTTCAGGATTTTATCTCTGCCTTATGCTGCAAGGTAGCTGAAGTTCTAGTCACTGCTGTTTTAATCAGCAGTGTGTTTTCAGTGAAATATTTTTGCATAATGTATTATCTTAGGTTCTGATTTGCCTTGTGTAGCAGTTATTTTCTGACATGGAGCACTAATGGGTTCCAGTTAGATGTAGTAGTCACTGCAGCTGACCAGGAGGTTGTGCAGTGACTTTCTCTCATTCTATGTGACTCATAAAAAAGTTAACCTGATGTTTGGGTGCTTTCTAGACCTGGAGCAGTCGGATGATCAGCAAGCAAGCTCTGCAGTGACAGATCTGCCTGGTATCTCGGCTGGTCAGCAGCCTACCCTACAAGCAGGTGTCTGTGACAGCCCCATTGGAGCCTCTCCGTCTTTGGCACAAGTTCCTGCCGCAGCAGCTTCCACCGGCTTCCCAAGCCAGGCAGAGTTACCACCTCTGGCACCACTGGGATCTGCTCCGAGTATCTTAGAGCAGGTGGCCGCTAACGGAGGTCAGCTGGAGTATTCTCCACTGAAGGCAGCGCTGCCTGCTCAGCCGGGCCCTCCAGCCCCCCGTGCTGCCATGCTGGAGGAGCCTCCTGACACTCTCCTCGCTCCGCAGCATCTGCCTCCACAGGCCGATGAGGCCACGTGTGTCCCTGACGTGGAGATAGCGTGTTGCAGTGTTGGGCCACACAAGTCGGTCCCAGCAGCTCCTGCCAAGGCAGCAGATCTCTGCCCACTCCCTGTGCTCCCAGAAACCGTCGTTTTGGAGCGACAGCCTGCGGCGCAGGTCCCTCACCTGCCAGAGGCCAGCCAGCCCGGCGCGGTGCAGCCCTCCTTCGTGAGCCAGGCATTCCCCGCAGCCGCTGTAGCAGATCCTCTCACTCTGGCAGGGTCTCAGCTCCAGAGTCCAACTCAGGTGCCCATGGCTGCGTCCCAGCAGCACACGCTGCTGTCCCAGCCTGTGGCCTGCGCCAGCACAGGGGTCAGCATGCTGCCACAGCAGCAGCAGAGCACCGCCGAGTCCGATGGAGAGGGACCGCCCAGGGTGGACTTTGTTGACAACACGATAAAAAGCCTCGATGAGAAATTGCGCAATTTACTTTACCAGGAATACGTTCCTACTTCTTCTGCATCGGCAGGGACTCCAGACACCTCTGTCCCATTAGAACCGGGCGACGGTGAATTTAACTTGCTGCCTTTCTCCGAAGATCAAGTTCCCACATTGGCATTGGGTTTGAAAGAACCAGGCCATCATGTTGCAGATGCCGGCCAGGAGGTGAAAGCTGCTGCTGAGGCCCCATCGGTGCCACCCATACCACCCGAGATCTCGCCCTACCCGGCACTGGTCAGTCCCACAATGTACCCTTTGTACCCCCAACTCCAGCTGTTAGGGACAGCATCAAAGCAGAGCTCAGAACCAACAAGCCAGTGGTAGGACATGTAGAGATTTCTTGCTTCTCTAAGCATTTTACATTTCTGCTCCCAGGGATATTACTTTTTGGCTGCTTTCCAATGTGAAAGTTCTCTTCAATTTTTACTTTGTCAGATGCATTCTGACTCATTTTATATAAATGCCAAATTTTTCCTTTGGGTTTAAAAGTGGTATAATATCTTAATTTGCTCTCCTCCTCTTGTATCCTGTTTCTAAAGCAGGCAGAAATGTGATAATTTTTTGCTAGTTTAAGAATGCAGAACGTGTGAGAGGTGTAGTCATTCAGGTTCTGAGGAAGACAATCATAGAATCACAGCATGGTTTGGGCTGGAAGGGACCTCAAAGCTCCCCCAGTCCAACCTCCATGGGCAGGGACACCTCCACCAGCCCAGGCTGCTCACAGCCCCGTCCAACCTGGCCTTGGGCACTGCCAGGGAGGGGGCATCCACAGCTTCTCTGGACAACCTGGGCCAGTGCTCACCACCCTCACAGGGAAGAATTTCTTCCTAATGTCTCATCTAAATCTACCCTATTTCACTTTAAAACCATTACCCCTCATCCTATCACTTTTTTTACCCTTGGAAAAATCAGGCTTCAGTAGGAATTTTTTTTTTAATATAAATTAATGGCAATGATGATAATGGCTGCCTTCTAAGTCAGTCCGAATAAAAGAGACACTTCAGGAACCTTTGCTTTGTTCGAGTGCTGCAGTCAAAGGAAGAAGCTTGCTCCATAGGCAGAAACTTGCTCTGCCTCCACTAATGATTTCTTTTGTCTTCCCCTGAGCTCGGCAGAGCAAGACTTCACTGGGAAGCTGGAGCAGGTGGTCTGGGTCATTATTCACTCAATGTCTTGATTGTGCACCTGTGTTGCGTTCTTTCAGATAAAATCCTGAGTTTATGAAATTCAACAGATTTGCAACACTTTCTGCTAGAAGCTCAGTGTATATCTGACTTGAAAAGCAGCATTTCTGGAGATAATGCCATCACCACTAGCAAGGCTGGGCTGGTTGCGTAGCGTCAGCTGGATGAACTATAGCAACTGCTTGAAAGATGCTGGATGTTACAGGAAAGGCGGCTGCACTTGAGTAACTCTCTAGAGCATGTTTATAATGATAAATGACTTTCTACAGCAGATAAAATGCTCTCTCTATGAAAGGTGTTGTGTCTCTCCAGTAATTTGAATTTGTTCTATTAAAATCTGTGCCAATAAGAAAAGAGGAACATAGAATTTCTGCAGACAGACATACAGGTGAAGAGTGTACAGTCTGGCTGGAAAAGCAAACCAGATCAAACCCCCACACTGATACATGTAATTCAGTCCTTGTTTTTCAATAACCTAGGCTGCAGTTCCCTCTGAGACGCTGCCACTGCTTTTTTTTTTCTTCCAAAGAAGGAAAAAAAAAAGGAGGAGTTGAAGGAAAAGCTGGAAGGCCACCTCCACAGACACTATAAAATAGTTCAATATTCCACAATAGTGTGAGAGCAGAGAGGGAAGGAGAATACGTTGCTGTTCCGCTTTGTGTGTAAGACTGAAATTCTTTTTCTTTTTTCTTTTTACCAAGTTTGAACAGTCAGAGGCTGCCAGCATCGGTGCTCATTCCTCAGAAGCAAGAGGTGGGTCAGCAAGCAGAAAAGGTAATGCTCCTTTCAACGATGAGCAGCAGTGATGCAGCTGCGCTAGTGCGTGGTCCTCTTCTCCAGTGTCCCCTTGCTCCTCATCCTTCTGGCTAACTGCAGAGCAGCACCGAGCACAAGGCATTTCTCATCCTATTTGTCATATAACTAATATTAAACATCTCATTTCTGTCGAGCCTCCTAGAAAGAAACTGCCTCACAGGCAGATTTATTTTAAATGATAAATGTGTAATACGTGGCTGCAGTGTAGGTATAGGGTATTTGTATGGAAGGCTACATTCCCAATAATGAATTTCCAGCACCCTTAAAGGGTCCAAACAGAAAGTCCCTCAGATTTCCTTGATTTCATAAAAATGTGTTGACAAAAATAACATGATTGAGGGTAGCCCCTCTGGGAGGAAGCCTGTAAGATTATTCAAGGAAGTCCCATGGAGGACAAGTAAAGAGTCCTGTTCTTTAGGTACTTGGAGATACAACTGCACTTTCTACGTAACATAGTTGGAGCCATAGTAAGAAACTGGGTATTCATCGTGCTCCATATACCTGTCTTGTGAGTCTTGAGAAGTTTAAAGGGGTGAGGAATTCAGAACTGCTCCTGCTGTCCTGGCTTGGGTTGGAGAGGGCTTATAATATTTTAACTTTTTTTTTTGAGATTGTGGCAAAGCTGGCTACCTGGTTTGTGTTTAGCTCAAAGTGGGACAGTAGCATCTGTGTTGCTACAGACAAAGAGGAGAGTATGCAGGTGGAATGTAGCACTGTGTAGGAAAATCAGTGTATCTTGGATACCATCAAGCAGTGATGTATTTCACTGTTTCAGAGCTCTAAAGTGACAGATTTTTGCCTTATGCTGACTCTGTGCGATGTGCCATAAGAAAGGCACTTTCTGAGAAGCTTGTGTTTATTGGTTTAACTTCAAAACCCGTGCCTAGGTTATGAAATGATAATTTCTTGATTACTGCCATTGATATTTTGCTTCTTCCGTGTTTCAGTGGTCCGAGTGACTATCTTCTTAGCATATCATTTCTACTTTCAGCAGTGTGCATTTCACTTCATTTCAGGCCCTTTTAATTGTTGGTGTCAGTATCTGTCAAGTGAGAGGTGTGAAATCCCAGTCCATCTGTGGTCAACTGTGGTATTTTGTATGCATGAGTAGCTGAGTGCAATTAGTTATTTGAGACATCGAGAATACCTTAGTAACACATGCAGATTTCCTTCTTTTTATTTTCTCCTTAAAAGTTTTCAACTGATTAATGAAATTTCACACTCCTTTTTTTTATTTGTATTCCCCAAATGAATAGATTGAAGAGAGTGCCTTCCTCCAGAGTTTTTATATTGTCAGCAATATTGCCTCCTGCATTATAGATCCTGTATTACGAAGATTGGATATTTAAATTATTCTTCAGTGCTACACTTCAGTTTATTATTCAGTTTATCACAGTAAACATGTTGGCTTTTTTTATACTGAAGAATTCCAGATATTAATATGGGGTTTTTTTCCCAACTTGTAAAACAGGTTCAGCTGCAAGCATCACTTCAGCACCTGCTGCTACAACACAAGGCCTCCTTCAGGTAATCAGAAACTAGGAGCAGTTTTATGCTTGATTGTCACTGTTACTTTCAGAATTAATCTCCATTATTTTCTCTAGGTTGCACCTACATCGTCAAGCATAACAAAACAGATGGAAACTTCTAAAATGAGCGAGAAGGCAAAGACTATGACTTCGCCTGCACACACAGATAATATAACACAGATATCTACAGCAGATGGGGTGATAAATAACCTTCACAGGGATGACTCTCTAGACTCTGGTTCCTATGGAAAACAGGCTGAAACTCACGCTAGCGGTACACCAGCCAAAACTATTGGCAGGTTTTCAGTGATCAGCACGCAAGATGAATTAACTTTACCAGCGCCACACTGCTTAAGGTTCTCGGCACCGCCAGATGTCTATTTGGATGAGCTCCCTTCCAGCCCGGATCTGAAGACAGCCGTCCGACGGGTGCAGACAGCTTCTTCTGTTGATGTCCTCTGTGACCAGGGTTCGAGTGACTCTGCTGATGAGCCTTTCCATCGGCAGGCGGCTGCTGCTGCCCAAGTGTCCCCTCCGAGCAGCAGTACAGCCACTGACTTAATTAAAAAAGCAGCTGCTTTTCTGCAAAGGTCTGGCAAAGCTGGCTCGCCAGGCCTCGACTCGCCGAACGGGCAAGGAACAAAGATTCCTACCATCAACATAACGTCTTTCCACTCACAGTCGTCATACATGAGCAGCGACAACGACTCGGAATTTGAAGATGCGGATATGAAGAAAGAATTGCAGAACCTGAGAGAAAAGTATGTTGGGTGTGCAAGCAGTGCTAGGGAAGCTTGGGTTGAGATGCCTAGACAGCATCTCTGCATGTGATCAGCAAATACGTGGTTTTCATAGTGGTAATGAGTAAACTTGTTCTGGGCAAATTAGGCATCATTAGGGCCTTCTCCTAAATGTCATACTGCATCCTTTTATGCATCAATTTGAATAATTATTCAAAATGGAATTGTCAATAATAACTTTTTTAAACCCCAGAACGTTTCTACTGCCATGTCCAGTTCCCTTACTGAAAAGCTATGCTGATACAGTAGCAAACAATAGCACTTGTACGTGACAGGTTCCAATGTGGATGCTATTTAAGGCAGCATAAAAATAATCTGGATGCCTGCGTGGACAGCTGCTTCAGTGTTCTCTTCATGCCCTTCTCTGCAGGGGGTGATCTGTCGGGTCTACAGACCCATCACTATTCAGAGACTTACTTTTACAGTAGCTCCATGCCTGATAGGTGCTGGATGAAGACCCTCCCTTCACCTCACATGGGACCTCTCACCAAATCAGTCCAGTCTCAGCGGGAGGCTGGCTGAGCCTTGCAGGGGTCTGTCATCCTGCCAGTCTCGAGAGCCAGCTGCTTCATATTGGAACATGTTCCTTTTTTCCTGGCAGGTGACAGGTAAAAACTGGCATTAGATGCTAGTTTAACCAAAATGGTAAACTTTATAAAAGTTTCACTGAATACAGATGATGTGTCTTTTTAAACCAGAACTAAAGTAATACAAAACCTTTAAACTGGCTTTATGGCGTCATGAAAGCTACATTATAAATAAGATAATGATTCATATACTGGTGGCATTTTTGTGGGAAGCACTTTAGTTTTTTTTCATGTTGAACTCCTTCAAGCTGATGTTCATGCCTTGAGTGTTAACTTTTTTGAAGCCACTAGTTTGAAGAGAGAAATTCTGGAACAGTTTGGAGTCCCTGTCAGTTCTCGTGTCAAAATCAATGGTTTTAACTGAGGATATTGAAAATTGAAAATCTTTTTAGCTGTCTAGGCTTCTGTCTTGTAAATGCATAGTTGAGAAGACGGGCCCCACGTCTGCAAGGTAGATTGTTATAGCTTCACATACTTTTGGATTATAGTTTTATAACCAAAGACTGTTTTGTTTCTTTTTTGTAACTAATTATGCTGTCAAGATGTGATGCTTTATCAAATACATCACTAGCAGAGTTATTTTTTTATGTTTAGGCATATGAAAGAAATTGCTGAACTTCAGACTCAGCAGAAGAATGAGATAGAGGCGCTGTATATTCGGCTAGGGAAACCTCTTCCTCCCAACCTGGGGTTCCTTCACTCAGCCCCACCAAGTGGCCGTCGCCGAAGAACCAGCAAAAATAAATTGAAAGGTGGAAAACTTTTAAACCCTCTGGTCCAGCAGCTCAGGAGTGGAACATCAAGCACAAGTAGGTTGCTTTCCATACGCCTGTTTGTGTCAGTTGTGGTTCTGCTGTGCAGTTGCATGGATTGCAGGAAAGGCACTGTATTTTTATTGGTTTTAATACTAGGACTCAGGTTTGTGTACTGTGAACTGGTTTTGAAGTGGGCTTCCTTTGCGACAGGCTTATTACAGCTACTCAGCGCTGAACCATCCATAGCTTCTCTGCCTTGGTCACAGCGCTTGGCAGAGAAACAGTATTCCACTTCAATTTAGAATATAGCCTGGTTACGTTTTCTCATTCTTTCTCCAAATGCGAAGTATTGAGGTTTGTATTCAGTTTTTAGGTGCTGTTATCCTCTATTGATTATGTACTATATCTTGTCGTTTTTTCCTACGAGATGCCGTATAAATAAGATTGGATTGCATTTGCTCCTCCAAAGGATGGGAGGTAAAAACAGTTCTAAAACTGTGATGGATGCTTTGACCATCTGAAATCGTTTGAGATTTTAAAAATACTCTTAAACCACAGTACAGTCCAGAGTTGTTATCTCTTTGGAAAGTATAAAGATATAATTCAACTGGGAAATGTTGATAATACACCAGTATTTCCTGTGTGACCTAGTCTAGGTGATCCTGCTCTGGCAGGGGTTGGACTGAATGCTCTTTTGAGGTCCCTTCCAACTCCTCATATTCTGTGATTCTGTAATAATTTTTCTTCAACTTGGTTTATGCTGGAGGAGCAGCAGCACTTCTAGCATTAACCCTCTATTTCAGACCTGGTAGCTCTTGTTTTCAAGTCACTGCGTCATGGGTCCACTTATCATTTCACTGCATCAATCTTAATTATAGACAGAGGAGTTTGGAGGTTTTTGCTTTTCATTAAGAATTCCAGCTGAGATAGGAAAAGCAAAGATATTCAGAGGCAAAATGTTCTGTGATCCATCTTGATTTCCGCATAAAAAGTCCCATTCTCCATTATTCCTTTTTTGGTGTCACCTTCTGTAATAGAACAGAAATCTGCTCAGTCAGGCTGCTATTTTGCTGCATGCTTTCTTTCGTGCATTTCTTCTGTGTTATTTTCCAGTTTTTTTCCCTGTGTAAAGTTCACATCTGTGTCATCAATGAGAATCTGTATTCATGCTCAAGGCTTCTCATCCTTTACTATGTAGTTTCCTAATTTTTTTGGCCTTCCTAGATCCCTTCTGCTGGTGATCTTTGGATCAATGGCAGGCAGTTGTTAATATGGTTACTGATAGAATTGTCATTTCCACTGTTAGATGCTCTTGTTCTTGTTGGGGACTTCAACTCCCCAGGCATGTGCTGGGAATACAATACAGCAGAGAGGGAACAATCCCAGAGGTTCTTGGACTGTGTGGGAGATAATTTCCTGACACAGCTGGTGAAGGAGCCAAGGAGAGAGGGTGCCCTCCTGGACCTGCCGCTTCTTAACAGAGAAGGGCTTGTAGGAGATGTAATGGTTAGAGGCCATCATGGGCATGGTGATCATGAAATAATGAAGTTTTCATTCTTGGAGAAGTAAGGAGGGAAGTTAGCAGAACTGCCACCTAGGACTTCTCTAGGACAGACTTTGGAGACAGATTGACAGAGTCCCTTGGGAGGCTGTCCTGAAGGGCAAAGGAGTCCAGGACCACTGGGCACTCTTCAAGAACGAAATCTTAGAGGTGCAGGAACAGACCATCCCCACATCCTGAGAGACGGCCCGGTGAGGTAGAAGACCATCCTGGCTGAACAGAGAGCTTTGGCTGGAACTTGGGAACAAAAGGAGAGTTTATGGCCTTAGGAAAAGTGGGCTGGCCACTCAGAAGGACTACAAAGATGCAGTGAAGCTTATGCAGAGAGGAAATTAGAAGGACCAAAGCCCAACTAGAACTCAGTCTGGCTATTGCCATAGAAGACAATTAAAAATGCTTCTATAAATACATTAACAACAAAAGGAGGACTGGGGAGAAGTTCCTCCTTTTTTGGATGCATGGGGAAACACAGTGACTAAGGATGAGGATAAGGCTGAGGTATTTAATAGCAGAACTGGTTGTTTGCTGGGTACCCAGCCCCCTGAGCTGTTAGACAGAGATGGGGAACAGCATGAGACTATTATAACCCAAGAGGAAATCATTAGTGACCTGCTGCACCATCTAGACATACACAGGTCTGAGGCCACACGAGTTACACCCAAGAATGGAGCTGGCAGAAGTGCTCACCAAGCCACTCTTCATAGTTTATCAGCAGTCCTGGCTAACCGGGGAGGTCCCAGTGAACTGGAGAATAGCAGATGTGATGCCCATCTACAAGAAGGGCCAGAAGGAGGATTCAGGGAACTACAGACCTATCAGTCTGACCTTGATGCCAGGGAAGGTGATGGAACAAATCATCTTGAGTCCCATTACACACTGTTCACAAGACAATGAGATGATCAGACCCAGTCAATGTGGGTTCATGAAGGGCAGGTCCTACTTAACAAACTTGATCTTCTTCTATGACAAGGTCACCCACTTGGTAGATGAGGGAAAGGCTGTGGATGTTGTTTACCTGGACTTCATTAAAGCTGTTGATACTGTTCCTCAAAGCATTGTCATGAACAAACTGGTTGCCTAAGGCTTGGACAGGTTCGGACACTGGCTGAATGGCCAAGCTCAGAGGGTGATGGTGAATGGAGTTATATCCAGTTGTGGCCAGTCACTTGGTATTCCCCAAGTGTTGGGGCCACTCCTGTTTCATATCTTTATCAATGATCTGGATGAGGGGATTGAGTGCTCCCTCAGTAAGTTTGCAGATGACACTAAGTTAGGAGGGAGTTTTGATCTGCCCGAGGGTAGGAGGGCTCTGCAGAGGGATCTGGCCAGGCTGAATCAATGGGCCAAAGCCAATTGCATGAGGTTCAACAAGGCCAAGTGCCAGGTCCTGCACTTGAGTCACGACAGCTCCATGTAACAGGCATAGGGAGGAGTGGCTGGAGAGCACCTGGAGGAGAAGGACCTGGGAGCGTTGGTCGGCAGCCACTGAACCATGAGCCAGCAGTGAGCCCAGGTGGCCAAGAAGGCCAATGGCATCCTGGCCTGCATCAGGAATAGTATAGCCAGCATGACCAGAAAAGTGTTTGTCCCAGTGTACTCAGCACTGGTGAGGCCACACCTTGAGTACTGTGTTCAGTTTTGGACACCACAGGATAAGAAAAACATTGAGGGGCTGGAGAGGATCCAGTGGCTGAGGGACTTGGGGGTCTTTAGTCTGAAGAAAAGGAGGCTGAGCGGAGACCTTATTACTCTCTACAGCTACCTGAAAGGAGGCTGTACAAAGGTGGCTGTGGGACTCCTCTCCCAAGTTACATCTGATAGGACAAGAGGAAATAGCCTCAAGTGATGCCAGAAGAGGTTTGGGTTAGACATTAGGAAAAACTTCTACACTGGAAGGGTTATCAAAGACTGGAACAGACTGCCCAGGAAAGTGTTGGAGTCACCATCCTTGGATATATTTAAAATCAGTCTAGATACAGCTCAGGGACATGGTTTAGAAGTGAGCATGGTAGAGTTAGTTGACAGTTGAACTTGATGATCCTAAAGGTCTTTTCCAACCATAATGATTCTATGAAATCCATGTAACAAATTATTACAGAGGTATTCTGGTGTTAAAGCCTCTTTACCCGCGATAGCTGTTTAGATGGTTATATAGACACAAGTATTTATGTATAGACATGTATCTATCTATATATAGATATGAATAACTTCTTATTTATAGCTGTCTTTGCAGCAACTTTTTATTTCTCTCCATTGGCTTGCTTTCACCTTTCATTTTTGAGAGCAAGCCTACATGTTCTGTTCAGTTTTTCTGTTTGTTGATGGACTCAATTTGTTAGAAAAGACCTTTAAGATCATCGAGTCCAACCATAACCTGTCCACCACTAAACCATGTCTCTGAGCACCTCATCTCCCCACCTTTTAAGTAGCCCCAGGGATGGTGACTCCACCACTTCCCTGGGCAGCCTCTCCCAGTGCCTGATAACCCTTTCACGGAAGAAATTTCTCCTAATATCCAATCTAACCCTCCCCTGGTGCAACTTGAGGCCATTTCGTCTCGTCCTATCACTTGTGACTTGGGAGAAGAGCCCAACCACCACCTCACTACAACCGCTTTTCAGGGAGTTGTAGAGGGCCTCCTGCTTAGGCCCTTCTGCAGCCCTCGTGTAATTTCAGCAGTGTTCTTCCTGCAGTCCTGACTCTGACCTTTCTGAAAATGCAGAAAAACTGTAAAAATCAAACCTACTCCCAAAGCTTCTTGGAGAAACTGAGTTGGCAATAGTATGTGTAGATTATTTTCTGGTGTAGGCTATCTGTAAAGTCTGTGCTTTATGCAGTACTTCAGAATTGCAAACCATGCTTGGTGGCAAAGTATTCCCTGTTTTTAGGCAGGGATTTTTATTCAGCGGTTTCGCAGCTTTTGCCATTGCATGTGGTTTGTTTGTTTGCTATTTCAGGTAATCTTTCAGATTCTAAAGACTCACCCCACAAAGAAACAACTAAAGCTCAGCCTGGATCTCCTGAAGCAGCAGCAGCGACGTCCCCAGCAGCAGCATCCTTTGGGAAGGCTGTTCAGACCCAGCAGCCCTGCTCCGTCAAAGCCTCTCTGTCCTCTGACATCTGCTCCAGCGTTGGCCCTGAAGGAGGTGATGGGAATGCAAGCTCTGGCCAAGGTGATTTTTTTCCTCCCAGCTGTTGGGCACAGCTTTCAGCACATGCTAAAATTAGTTTGTTTCCCTTATGCTTGAACTTTTTAGGAGTGGATTTCACTTCTAGTGATATGGGAACGTGAACCAATGCAAATTACTGGCGTAACTTTAAAAAGATCATTGCAGTATTGTCAGAAGAACAAAAATATCTTACCAAGTGTTAAGAGTCAACACTCAAGAAGGCAGGCTAAATTTTAGGAAGGAAATACCTTTTATTTTTGCCAGTAGTGGCTTTATAGCGACACCTTTTCTGGAGCCTGCCTTACAGGTTTCTGAGGGAAAAAAAAGAAAGAAAGAAAAAAAAAAAGTTATAAAAGGATAGGAGGTTGTTTCCTTTGGTCCATTTGGGGCTTTTTTTAGCCCTTTGATACTGGTAAACCCAGAGTTCCTCATTTTAAAGCACCATCTTGGGCGTGAGGAAAAAAAAAAAAGAAAACCAAACCCAGAGAACCAAGTTATGTTTCCATTAACTTAAGGGGTTAACTTTGTGCATGATTTTGGAGTCCCAGCTAAGTGCCTGTAGACTGGCTGTGCTCCCCAGCCCCAACCTCTGATACTCCCGTGTATTGCACCCCTCCGTAGGCTTTGACTGATCTTGTTGCCATGCATATTGGAAGCTTACAATGATGATTAAAATACCTTCCTCTCATTGCACATCCTGCCAAACTAATCTACAAAATACCTATCTGTTCTCTTCTGCTGTTATTGCATCCTTTGTGTATGGTCAATGAACTTACTCCTCTTTGGCAAAGTTAAAATGGAGATGTGGATGTTTAACTAACAAAGCTGATTTGACTGATGGTATAGGACATCTGATCGCAGCTACTTGTACTTTATAAGTGTCTTTGTTTTCTTCCCTTTATATTCATTTGCAGGCTGGACGGTTTTCCACCAAACGTCTGAGAGAGTGACCTATAAATCTAGTAGCAAACCTCGTACCAGATTCCTCAGTGGACCTGTGTCTTTGTCCATCTGTTTGTATTTGTTCTTTTGTATTTTATCACAGTCCATCTTTCTTTTACCCCCTTTTTCCAATTCCATGGTTTATATCTCTAATATGTTTGGCAGGATGCCCTTTTTTCCGAGCCATCTTTTCTTTCTTTTTATCTTTCTTTTAAGTAATCATCATGAACACACCTCATTTACATTAATTTTTCATATGAAAGCTTTTTTTGCACTGCTTTTGGCTCGTGCCTGGGCACCAAAAGCATGTGTGGAAGATCTCATCATTTATATAGCCTTATGGTAAATTTTACCCTGGACTTACCAAAGCTTTTGTACTTTCTGTGATTTATGTTGAAGTAATTTTATTTGCAATGTGGCAAATATACATGTCTGCTGTCCCGGTTCCAGCGACAACAAAAAGAAATCCATCCTTCTGTAGACGAATGGTCTCTTTCACACATGTTTGGACTATGAAGACATGCATGTAGCAAGCTGATACAATACTAGAAGGTCACTGAAGGGTATAACTTCCATACAAGGGCTGTATTAACACAATATACAGTACTGTTTATATCCACTCTATTTTCTTTAATTTTTTCCCCCGCTCTTTGCATGTGGAAATGCTGAGACGGTAGTGCTCCAGCTAGTTCTTTCCAAATCTCTTTTCTAGTGGGCTTTTCCCCATGCATTCACTTTAATGACTTTAAGTGAGCGATTTCTGATCTACTCCTAAGCAGCAGGAAGATCTGGTGACTCCAAAGGAGAGTAGCATCAACGTTTTTTGTGTGAGCTGATCTGGCTGAAGCACCTCGCTCAGTTTATTTTCTTATTGACCTTATGTGACCTCAGAGATGAAGTCAATTAGCAGTTCATCAAAGCAGAAATAAGTAAAAAGCAATATCAGATTTTTCAGATGATACTTTGAAACGGATTGCTAGGATCCAGTATTTTTTGTTTCAAATAATTGTGCACCTGCTATTTGTACCCTATTTGTATGACTTCTAAAGTAATTGGCAATTCAACCAAATGATATCAAGCTATTTAATTTCAAAAATTAAGATCTTTTTACCCAGTCATATATGCTGCTTTTTAGGCAAACAGATTTTGCTTGTACAATAAAGATATGTTGTGCTGAACAGGTACTATAGGCCACTTACATATAACATTAGAAAGGCTAATAATGTTCTCGAGAAAATGTTTGGTTAACTAACTGTTCATTTGCATTAATATCAGATCTCCCATTGGAGTCCTACATTGCTCATTATTATCCCAAGTGGTACAGATCAAAGGCACAAGACCACTCAAATACACAGCTCCTAATTTTATGAATAAACAATATTTTTAAAAATAATCTTGATTTTTTTATTTTTTTTTTGTTTGAGGTCCCTGAAAATCCAAGCACTCAGATTCTTGAAAACTGGTGTTTACTGCTCAGCATACTGAATTTATTATCATGGAAGTTTTTGATGGCTGTTAAAGTCATGAGACAATTTTGCATTCAGGAATTTTTTTCTGAGAACCTGAGGGGAATTCTCGGCTCACAAATTTTCCCGTTTGGTGTTATAATGGACATAGTAGTTTCTTTCTCTGCACATGTAATTCCCAGAAGTGGGTTCATTTATCTTTCACAGAATTACTACTCAGTAGGATGCAAAAAAACCTGGGAGATGGCGATTAAAAGCCAGCATATTAAAAATGTTTGGGTGCATGGATATTGTGAATGAAACCAAGGGAATATGTAAATCCTTCTGATCATGAAGTTTCCCAATGCTTAAATAACTCGGCACAACTAATTGCTTTCTGTTCTAAGCCCATATGTTCTCTTCTCGGTTTCTTCTGGGCAAAGTGCTGGGAGAGGAGGTTTGTACTCCCCCATTTCTGAGTCATACGAGGAGATGGACTGAGCTTCAGGCACTTAACCCTCATCCATTCAAACTCACCACTGCTCCAAGAGCGCAGCTGAGGTTCAAGCACTGCCTGTCACTTGAGTTGCTAGACAGGCTTCCACAGCTGAATTACTAGTAGGTTTTGATGGGGATAGAAGGTCCAACAGGATTGCGAGTCCAGCAGGTTGATTATGTGTATGGAGGGATGAAGATGGGGCTGCGTGCGGCCCCGTTGGTCCCCAGTGACAGCTGGGATGGCTGCTGGAGGGACACACAGCTGGTGGTTCCATCTAGCCTGTGTCCAGAGCAGCCATGACCATGGGCCTCAGGAAAAATAGTGCTAGGTTATGCTGATGGTAGAATCAGAGTGTTTGGGTTGGAAGGGACCTCAAAGCTCCCCCAGTCCAACCCCCATGGGCAGGGACACCTCCACCAGCCCAGGCTGCTCACAGCCCCATCCAACCTGGCCTTGGGCACTGCCAGGGAGGGGGCACCCACAGCTTCTCAACCTGTGCCAGTGTCTCACCACCCTCACAGGGAAGAATTTCTTCCTGATGCTATGTTCCTAATGCTAATGATGAGAATACCAGCTGGCTTATGCTCCTTCCCCTCTGGAAAGGATGTGTGTTGACCCAGTAAGCAGAGAGAACCAAACATTTGGACTAAGTGCTAAACCTGCTTGGGTCTTTTCTGCACAATTGAGCCAGGAGAGCGAGTGCTGGACGTACTGGGAGTGCTGGGAGGTGGCTTTCCACCACAGGCAGCTTGGTGACATGTCCAGGGCCCTGGGTCTGTCCCATGGGTCAGGGTTTCCCAGGGATTTTTTGTTTGTCTGAGAGCTTTTAGGAAAATTTGTGGTAGATTTTCAGAAATGCTCTGAAATCTGTATGTTTGATGAAGGAAAAACAGCCCTTTGGGGAGCCTGGATATTCTGGTGTGAGGTGAGGGCTGTGTTAGCAGTCAAATTAGCAGCACATTTTAAAAAGAAGTGTTCAGATGCTTTAAAGAGTTTTACCAAATATCTTGCCCTGGTTACAAGATCATCAGGCTTGAACACTTTCACAGTGTTCTCCCATAACAGCTCTTTGATCTGTTCCCCATGTCCAATATTGACTTTTCCTTTGCACTTTTCACGGAAAAAAAATATTTTTGATGGGCTTCAGCATCGTTTTAGGCTGAGCTCCTTCCCTGGGTTAAATTGCAAGGGCGTCTCAGGGCAGAGTTTGCACTGATTGTGAGTGGAATATTCAAAAGCTCCATTTGGCTTAGACTTGTAATCTTAAGTAAAGCCATTTTTGTCAGGTCTGTAGCAATTAATATATTGTATGCGCATATGTGATTATGGAAATGGTTTAGGAATGTATTACCATTTCAGTTTTATTTTAGCTCTCAAGCATTTTTGGAAGCTGTTAGAGTGCAAATATGGGACAGTGGATTTTTTTTTCTGTCCCGTGTGATCTAATAGCTACTTAATTTCTCAGATAAGAATTGTGGAACTGGAGGTAAAACACTCTGATGAACTTTTGCAGTCTTAGATTAAATCTTGATTATGATTCAACTTTACAACTTTGTAACTTTACAGCTATTAAACACCTTGATTTTTAGAATTTTAGGTTTACCAAGCAGCTTTTTAATTGAATTTGAATTTAAAGCCCATTGTAGCTGATGCTTGTCTGTCCCTGCTTCAGGCGGTATCCCCACTTAGATAATGTTGCTTATCTCCCAAGCAACGCGCAGGAGTGACACCATTTGGAAGAAATGGCTCTTTTTTTGTATGATCGACTTTTTTGCCATATTTCTCTGTAGCATCAGCTCCCTCCACGTGGGTCTTTCAGGGATCTGCCTCCCGTTACTGCTCTCTGTTGCTTCCCTGCACATATGGGGGCCCCAGGTTTGCTTTTGCATCTCAACTTGTGACTTAGTGTGCAGGAAGCAGAAGAGTTGGTGATTAAACTTTTTCACATGCATTTGAGCACGTACTGTAGTCAGCTGCCTGCTTTTATTTTTTCGCAGGCGGTTGCTTGCCATTTGCATACATATTGTGCTAAATACCACCTATGGCTACATGCAGAAAGGCTGCAGGATAGTTAAGAAAATGGCATTCTAATATTACAGCCGCTGATGTTTCCGTAATGGGAGCTGCTAGCTAACTTTGAGATAGGCAAGGTAAGGTATAACTGAGGGAAAAGGGGAAAAAATAAAAAGACAACGCAGATTGTTGAGTTGTGAATGTGACTTGTGTTTGTTATCTAGGCTTTGAGATGAGAAACTCAAGTTGGTCATGCTTGCACAAGACACTTCTGTAGTCATGTCCTCCTAATTTTCCTGGAATGGAAACCTCATTAAACTACATGAAATAATAAGGAAATCTTTCAAAGCAATCCTGTTCCTCCTCATGCCACCCATACCAAAGCACAGACATTTCTTCTCCCTTTTTTCCTCCTTTTTTTTCTTTTCTCTTTCTCAGTCTCTGACTGATGTCTCTCTTTTCTCCTTTGAAGATTCATTCAGAGGCTATGTCAACCTGGACCTGCAATCTCTGAGTTTAAAGCTGCATTTCTGGCACAGTAACAAAATATTGACACCGGTCTGCTCTAGGGAAAAAGCACATCCATCCTGTATCTTGCTTTTTGCCCCACTCTCTAATTTTGCTCATGTTTTCAAGTGCTTCTTCACAATAAACTTGCCATGACCCATGTCAGATATTCATTTCCTCCCATACCATAATGATAATTCTTCTTACCAAGTCCAAAATACCTTTCAGGAAATTTGGCACGCAAATAGAAATGGTGTTTATGTCTGGCAAGATCTGACGGTCGAGTAGGGTTCTTGGTACACCTCTGGCAGTCTATCTAGCCAACAGAGTATGTGAAATCATGATTAAGGATGTAACAAGATAATAATGATAAAACCACATAGTTTGGTTAAATGAAAACTCAGCTGGATTATTTTTCCCCACTTGGACCAAGGCATAAGGGAAACTCATTCACGGTTGCTTTCAATTGAAGTTCAGAATCTCACATTTAGACACAAATCCTCCTGATAAAGTATTTGGAAACAATTGGCCTGAGACCTGCAGAACAATCTATCTTTTTGGACTTGTAAAACAGAACTTCTAGGGTTGTTTTACAGTTTGTCTTTGCAGCCAGACTAGCTTGACTTGTTCCTGAAAGCATTTTTGGCCTCCTGTCACAAACTGAATTGACATCATTTCCTGCATTAACAAGAGTAGGAGTCAAAACCTCCTATGAGGATGCCAAGGCAATTTTGGGAAAGATAAAAACCAAAACCAACAACAAAAAAACCTCCAACCAAACCAAAACCGAACCAAAACCCAAACAAATGCATCTTTAAGTCATGGGACCTTGCTTTTGGCATGCTATTGTACTTTTCAAAGCTTCTGAATGGCTGCACATTAAGAAAGGTTTGAGCTGTCCAGTTATTTAGACTTCCTTTACTCACCTGAACTGCTGACTTTGTCTGTCCTTTCTTGCATAATAACTACTTTTCGATTGCTTAAAAGTACAGAAGCTTGTCCGTCAGATTTGTTGTGTTTAGTCTTACCTAATTCTGTATGTCTTGTATTGTTTTACCTTGTAGGGTCCACCTTGAAACGACTATGTCTAGGCAAAGATCACAGTAGTAGTAACTATCCCATTTTTGTTTCTCAGTATTTCCTTCATGGCATGGGATGTTGGTTTTTCTTTTGCTTTTTTTATTTTTCTTTTTTACTAAAAGCTAGTTGTTTAAAGAATAGAGCTGATGCACTTCTACTGATATGAAATTAGACTGTATAAATTGTGATATTTTAATGATAATGCATGTGCTGTGATGTCTTGGGAACCACGCATGCTGCAAGACAGTTTGTGGTATTTTTTGTGTGTGAGACTGTGCACGCATGCAGCGAGAAAACTGGGTTCAGTGTTTGTCTTTCTGAAATACACACCTTTATATGACTGCAGTTCTCTGCTGGAGGAATTTCTAGCTTAAAACGATCCCGTTCCTGTTGAGCTGCATGAAATACTAAACACTAATTGAAGAGCTTTCCTGTCAAAATACTTATTTTTCTCACTGGTCCCTTTCCCCCAAACAAAGGAAAAGGAAATGAGCAGTATTCACTTAGAAGTTATGTTGCAGGTTGAATGCATGATCATTTAAAGGTTATTAACGTATTTTTATATAACCATAGGACTAATTAGTTTACTCGGTTTCATTGGCTGGTAACTGATTAACAGAAAAAAGACAACTGAACGTTCATGTTTGCTTCTGTAATAATTTTAAACCTATGAACTTTTTGCTTGGAGAGATGGTCTTTATTTCAAATCTTTAGCTCTATCAAATGTGTTAGCTGAAAAGTTACTTTCTATTTTCTGCTGAGGTCAAATTCAGGCACCTTCAGTTGCTGTTCCCTGCTGATCTTGCTGTGTCAGACTTGTAGTTACCAACACATAAAAAGAACAGATTTTTTTTTTCTTTCTTAGTTCTACTAGAAATAAATGAATATACAAAATTAAAGCTCTGTCAATACTCTTCCTGTCTGCCTCTATCTATACCAAAAGTTCTGTATCTTTATCTCAAAAACTCACACACCCACTCATATCCTCCTCTTTCCTCTTTCTTCTGTACACTCATGGTCCTGGTGGTTTTTTTTTTCCCAAAAAAATACGCAGATGGCAGAGTAAACCGTCCTAATGTCACAAAGAGAGATTGTGTGTTCCCAGAGGCTTTGAGGCATAGTCGCCAACCCTACTTGTAACCTATACAACAATTTGATTTTTTCCAGGAGGACAGTAAACTTTTGCAAGTAAAATAAATGGTAAATTCATTTTTTAAATGTGTGCAGTTGTAGCAGGTAATACACCCTACTCTCTCGTGGTGGTCTCCTTAGAAGAGACTCTGTAAGCCTTAGGATGTCAGTGCTCCTGGGGCTGCATTCGTTTCTTCTCTCCGGGTCATTATTTTCACCTAGAGAGAAGTTGAGGGCACAAGACCTAGTGAGAGAAAATATGAGCACACTGGACCATTTCTTTAAGCAAAGGTGTTCTGTAGAAGGGCGGGGAGGGTTCAAAGTCAGAAAAGCCACCATTTGAATTGCAGTAGATGAGAACCTGTTTGAGCAGTGGAGTGGTGAGGCGGAGACGCCATCGTCAACTTTCTTTGTGTGTGATTTTCCAGGATCCTCGACAAACAGTCTCGTAACGTGTCCTGAGCCCCTCCCGCAATCAACCCTGCAGGTTCAGGCCAACAACAGTAACAACAAGAAAGGGACGTTCACGGACGACCTTCACAAGTTGGTTGACCAGTGGACAAGCAAAACTGTTGGAGCTGCACAGACAAAACCTTCCTTAAACCAACTGAAGCAGAACCAAAAAAGGCAAGACATGGAGCCAAAGGCTAACCCCATGCAAACGCAGAATGAGACATGTGGAGTAAGTGGCACTCCTTGAGGAACGTACCTTTTGCTATGTGTCTGAAAGCCTTTGCAGGACTCCGATTTGGAGGAGAACAGAAACTAAAGTTATTTCAGATAGATGCTTCCTATAAATGTCCATCTCCTTTCGTTAAGTACTAAACCAGATTTTTTTTTTAATTGCCTTTTGGAATAATCTTGAGGGATATATGGGCTGCATTATATACATATAAAAATATATATTTTTAAATTGCAAAATGCTTATTAACAACAATATACAGCAATACTCATACCATTAACCATATGTTGCTTAACTTGAATTTGAACTTTTCCTAAAGTTTTCTTCTTTTTGATATTCGATATTAACTTTCCTTAGGCAGAACAGTGGCTGGGCCGGTGGCTTGGTAGTAGCAAGGTTTTGTTGTAGTGGAGGGATAGGGGACAGCTGGATGTGTGCGGGGCATCTTTGAGTCTCCCTGCCTCGTAAAAATGCCACTGTCAGGTATTTTGCTGGTATAAATGCTGGGAAAGTAAACCACAACAAAATGGAAATTTGAAGCACCCTTATTCACCTCCTCATATTTTCAGTGGCAGGAAAAAACTATTGCAACGTGTGTTCGTATCTGTGTTCGGTGCTTGTTTTCATGGCTGAGTGAGGATACAGAGGCAGGCACAAAACCAAATGAAGATGTATCCGGATGCCAGTTTACCATTCTGTCCTGCCCTGGTCTGGGTGTGCAGACCTCTTCCTCCTCCTCACAGATCGATGACTCTTTGAATTTTTGTTGGATTTTGGAAGACTGGAAATGGAGCCAAAGTAGAGGAAAATAAATTAATTTCAAAAGCAAAGAAATAGTGAAAACAAAACCAGTGAGAGACTGCTTTATAATCCCTTAAAGCAAGATAACTGCATCTGGGTAGTAAAAAACCTGTATGCAGCAATGGTAGCTTTGTAGATATTCATGAGGTTCCTGCCAGAGCAGGAACTGTGGTAATGCCTCTGCTTTGGTACCTGCTGGTGTCTGGGTTGGTCACATCACTGACTTCACAGGGAAAAGCATTTGTGCAAGTTTATTAAGCAATTTTATGTCACTTCTTGGTTGTCACAAGCGGACAAAAACCAGAGAGCAAATAATCCTTCTATGTAGTGATGGTTTAACCAGTGTAAACCTGTTCTGCAGTAACAGCAACACCTACTTAAGTAGATTATTAAGTAAGTATCTACTAAAGTAGAGCACCCTGTTAGTGCTCACAAAATCAGTCAAAGGAGGTGCTAGTAAACACAAATTGAAGATTGCTAGAGAGTGATGGTGAGCTCACAGATTTGGTTCTGTTAAGTCACTTCTTACTCCCTGTTGATGTGCGTTGTGGAGCTTGATGTCTTTTCCCCAAGACTCCTGCAATAGTTCGAAGTATTTAATGGGGGTTTGCCCACTTGTAACTCTAAAAAGGAGAGTGGTTACTTTGCTTATTTAAATCACTTGTTAACATCAATTTAGGGTTATTTTTACCTTCTGCAGTCTTGGTGTCTCTGTTTCAAAGCCGATGGAGACAGCAAAACATCACTGTGAGAGGAAAAGGAAGGGCCCTGTCTTAATACAATTTTAGAGGGTTTATTTCTTTCAAGAACATGGCAGTTGTTACAGAGGATTAACAAGGCCTATAATTTACCGAGATGTCAGAGAGGATGGGATTCCCTGCCCTTCATTTTACATTATTCCTTGTTGCTTGGAAGAGGAGCAGTCAAGTTGGAGACCTTGCGAGCCCTGCACTGGCTTGCCCTGGGTGGTTTTGTGCATGAAGTCCTTGTAGGGCTGTGTGGGCTGCAGAAGAGATGCCAAGGTAGACGGCAAATCATAGCGTGGTGGTGGTTGTGGTATTTTGGCCATGAAGATGGCACAGCTTGCTGTGGAAGGTAGAAACCAGGGCAGCGGGTATGATTTAAAAGACTTTTACAAGGGTTGTTTTGGGAATTGAATGTCATTCTGCTGATTGTTCCTTTTGAAATTCACCCTAAAGGGGAAACTAAAATTAAGGGAGGAGAGAGCTTCATGATTTTTGGAGAAAAATAGCAAAAAGAGAAGCAAGGAAGCTGTGTGAAGGGACCCTTAGTCTGGACAGACAGATAAGTGACTCATAACATCAGTTCTTGGAGTGATGAGTTACATTGGGAGATGTTATACCTGCATTGGATCACTGTTGAGCTCGTCTTCTGAAGTGGTGGTGAAAAGACAAAAAGAACTTGGGAAATCACATAAAGGGTGGAAAAAAATAGCTTTCTAACAGGAACCATATAAATTTCAGGCTGTACTTCTTCAGTCCCTCTTTTAAGCCCATCTTTTTGTCATCTTTTTGATCGAATACAAAAATGTCTTTGCAAAAATAAGGAGCACTAAATGGATTTCCAGCCCATCAGAGACAGTTATAATAAGGTTTTATGTTGGGAATAAAAGCTAGATAAATTGGAAACGTGGTGATTCTTATCCCTTTTTTGACTGGAACAAACCAGCAGGAAACTGTTAGGGCACGTTGGCTCCTCTCTTCAGACTCGGTGTTTTGTTGTAGGAGAAGCTGGTTTTGGCCCCATGCAATGTGTGGAAATGAGGGGTGGGAGGGAGGCAGAGTTCATTCCTTCACTTCTAAAGTGTGTCTGGAGGTGCTTGGAAAGAAAGAAGTCTCCTGGAAGAGTTCTGAAACAGGAGTAGGAGTGATGTGAGCAGTCCCACAGTGCGCTGTTGGTTATTGGTCCCCTGGAGTTGGTGCGTCACGTCGCTCAGGCCGCGTAGGCCATGAGCATCCTCCTGGGGTGCACGTCTGGAGGTTCTGTTGTACAAGGTATGACAAGGGTGGCAGCAAACCAAACGGCCTCTTTCTATGATTGATTTCAATCTCTAGGCCAAAGGAAAATTGCAACAAATCCTATTAGATAGGGGTAGAGTTTGGGTTTTTAAAAATTTATTATTTTCTCTTACTGTCCACCATTATTAATATGCAGGGTAGTTATGTGGCCGATTTCAAGTCTTCTCTTTCACCCTGGAAACAGAGGACCAACTTTCCTGAGTTGTCTTTTTTCTTGAGATGCTTCTACCACTGTCAGCCAATTGTTTGCTGTGTGAATACAATACATCATTGGTATCTTTCTTAAACTAAGTGAAGGCTACTCTTTAAGCTTGGAAATCAGCTCAAAAAGATGTTGGTTGTGTCTTTAATGGGAGTTAGTGGTTTTATTTTTGTCCTTTCTCTCATCAGAAGTGTAGACAGCAATAAAATAAGCAGGATGCAAAGGAAGCCTTTAAATTCTGCTTTGTTTCTGTGGACGCTACTTATCAATTTGGCTGCAAGTCCTGGTTGATAAATATTAGAAGTTTGTGGGGGAACCTTCAGGCATCCAGTTATGTCGCAGGAGCACTGAAATGTTCCTTTTCAAATGTTTCACTTAAACACGGAAATACACGTGGATTCTCATCAGCAGTAATTTGAAATGTAATAGGAGATATTAGGAAGAACTGAAACTTCTCTCATGCTCATCCATGTTGAAGACATGATGAAATAATCCTTTCTTACAGGTGATTGTGGTTACCACCAGTCAAGATATACACCTAGGAAGAACATGAGCTGACTTGTGTGTAAAGAGTACTGAGTATTGTGTAGTTAAAGGCGTTATTTGAAGATGCCTGGGAATAAAGGGCTTACCAAAAATATGTTTTCTGTTCTTCATACTGTTCCATAGTTCCATGAGTTTTAATGAAAAAACATTACCCCCAAACAAGCTGGAAACATGTCCCAAGTCCATAATAAGGTTGTTTCTGTGAAGGTGTGTGTCTGACATGTGCTGGGCTTTGGACGCTGTCAGGAGTAGCTGCACATCTGTTTGCATTTAATACATCTTGAGTTTAATGAGCTGGCTGCCTGGGAAGCAGGCATTCAGGAGATAGCCACCGACGCGAGAATGGGGCAGAAGGACTATTAGCACCTTTTACTGTGTCTTCCGTCTCCACTGGATTGGAAGAATAATAAAAAAATAGGGTGAATTTGTGTCCAAAGCCATTCAACGCTGCCTTCTTGGTCTGAATGTCACAACAGCTTTCCAGGAAACCTGGAAGAGCACAAACACAAATTTTCAGAAGCACCTACTAACTTTGGGGTTTCAGCGAATGGGAAAAGGGTGATAAAAAAGGTGTGTTGGCATTGTCGCCCTGCTTGTGTTGGCACCCAGCTCTCACCCCATCCTGTGATCCTGATTTTGTTTCCTGTGATCCTGGGTTTGTTTCAATGGTAGTTGGACCATACAAAAGTAGAAGAGTAATGCTAATAACCTGGGCCTCAAAATGCAGCTGGAAGAAAAATAATCTAAATCCTGCATTTTTAGAATGGGTTGTGATAATTATGGTCACCTTTCACAGCAGAATTCCCCAGGTTCATCTGTTCTAATGTAAAAACATAAATATTTATAGTCCTAGAATGGTTTGGGTTGGAAGGGACCTTGAAGCTCACCCAGTCCAACTCCACTGCCAGGTCAGCCTTGATGGGGCTCTGAGCAACCCGATCCAGTTGAAGATGTCCCTGTTCACTGCAGGGGTTGGACTGGATGAGCTTTAAAGGACCCCTCCAGCCCAACGCATTCGATGATTCTGTGATTCTCTGGACGACCTGTCCCAGTGTCTCACCACCCTCAGAGTCAAATTTTTTTGTCTCTATCTCTAGTTTAAATAATGTTTATAAGTAAAACACAACTCTTAGCTATATACTTTCACAGTGTGTAGCTATGAATGTTGCTCAGGTGGTACTTTAGAGCTTGCTTGGTAAAGCAGGATGACAAGGTAGAGAACTAAAAAAAAAAGTCCAAAGAACAGATTTTTTTTTCCCTGAACTACCATAGCCTTTGTCCAGTGTGAACAGTGGTGGTCCAGTGGTGTGTCATCTTTACGTATGTTTTTTGTGTATGTTCTTCTTTGTGTATGTATTATTCTTGTTTTCTAAATGAGTACGCATGATTATTTGGGGGAACAGGAATAAGCAAAGGAAAGGCTGGCAGCATGAGCAAGAGGTGGCTCCTGCCCTACAGGGACTGGTACAGGCCCTCAGGGCAGAGGTTTATTAGTGCAGGGAGAGCTTGGCAAGCGGAGGAGCGGAGGCAGCAAGAGCAGAGGTACAAAGGCAGCAGGCAGAGATGCCACCATAGGTGTTTGTTAAGTGTGAGTAAGTGTATTGCTTCCACAGGCTTAGAGGAGGCTAACGGAGATGCAGGGGGGGGGAATTTCACATCCTTCTAGTGTAATACAGGATACATTTTAGGATGTCAACCCAGTCTCCCTTCCAAAAAAACCTCACCCTATTAAATATCTCTAGCAGGCAGGCTTTTTACATGGTGATGACAGACATAAATTTTACAGTGCATTTGGAAAATGCACTAAGTTTGAGGCTGTGTCTACCTTATCAGCCTGCTCAAGGCCAGAGCAGCTGATTTTAGAGGCTATAGATGGGCAACAGAACAAACAGAAGTAAATTAATATTGTGATACTAAAAATTAAATAATGGCATCCGTAGTTTACTAAGTCATATAATCAATCTCATTCCTCATTGCTAGTGTTGCATCATCTAAAGTTAAATTAAGAAGGGAAAAGGCCACCTCTGCTTTACAATCCTGCAAGAGGATGCAAGTTTTTTAACTAAATCCCAAACTCTTGTCCTGTATGACTGCAGGCTGTGGTTATAAAGATCTTTTGGTTTTCAGTGGTCTGTAAATATTGGTTGCTTGAGCTGGATACAGGAGTCTGATATGGTACCACTTGTATTCAATTCCCAAGATAACTTCAGTATTAAAGAAACAATTCACAGCTGTATCTTCAAGCTGTGGGTAGAATACCAAAGCCCAGAAGATGCTGTGGAAGCTGAGGCCTCATCACTACTAGGTTATAGCATGGTATAACTGGGTAGTTGAGGCACATTTTGGAATTGACATCTTGCACCAGAACTGGCACTTTTTGAGCAAACTTGCAAAAATGAGAAGGTAATGGTTAAGAGGAGAGGTCATCTGGGCAAGCAGGGAGCTACACGTAACAAATGTGGCCTTTCAGCACAGAATTGGCTGGCTCATGAGTGATGGGAGAACTTACAGGTTGACAGCTTCACTTGTGAGCTTCAGCCCGCCAGCAGCCATAGGGCTTGTGCTAAGGGTGAAATACTCTTACCAGTGATGAGACACCCAGCCATGCCGTGCATCTCAGGGGCTTCCTTCGGGGAACCTCCATTAAAATACCAGCCTGATTGAAACGCCACTTACAGTTCCACTTACAGTCGTGACTTTGACCCCAGTGCAGCAGGTACATGCCTTGTTCATCACTGCATGAATGCCATCTGCTTCCCTTTGAATTTTATGAACAAAGTGACTTGTGGTCTCATGGCTTTTCTAGAGCTGGGAAATCCATAGCTCTGTGAGCTGTTTTGTGGACTCTTCTGGTGCGCGTTGGTTTTGATCATAGAATCATAGCATGGTTTGGGTCAAAAAGGGACCATAAAGCTCCCCCAGTCCAACCCCCCATGGGCAGGGACACCTCCACCAGCCCAGGCTGCTCAAAGCCCTGTCTAACGTGGCCTTGAACACTGCCAGCGAGGGGGCATGTTTCAGTCAGCATCTACATGCAGGAAGAAATGGGTTGTTTTGGCGTCCGCTGGTGTTGAGTTGTCATGGCTGGTTAAAAGATGCTGTTTAAAACATGCCTTTGACCAAGAGACTTTGATCCAGAGGAAGACACAAGAGTCTCGCTGCCTCTTCAAGCGTGCGTTTTGCTCCCTTGAAGCATACAACGAAGATGGAGGAAGCGGCCTTAAATCATTAACGTGCATTTGTCATGACATTAGCAGGTTTTAATAAGTATGTGTCATGGTTGCGTTTGGAGCATGATGTAATTTTGTTCCCAGTTGCACATACGGAGCCTTAAATACAGCTGCTGCTTTACTGAGTAATGTTGCTGAGAACAAAAAGGTCAAGAGGCACAAATCGGGCAGAGGTAGATTTCCCAGCATTTTAAAAGAACTGAAAATAGGCTTTTTCAAGGTAGATTTTTTAAATAGGACCACTTGCAAAAATGTCACCTTACATTTTCAGTGCTACTGTATAACTTATTATTTGTATAAGAAATTATATACTTTGGTTAGGTACGTTTACAGGCATCTGTTATCATCCGCTTAGTTGTCTAGTTTGGTGAAAGCTCTCATGTTGAGGATGTTAAAAGTTTAGGTCTAGTAATAGCTTAAAGAAGTCTTCAGGTCTTAAAAATGTATCCTCAGTTCCTCTGTTTATTGTTCTTTGGTTTCTGCAGTTAATTTTGGTGGATTATTATACAGTAATGATGTTAAATTCATTATACCAAAGTAACTATTAATCTTAGTTTGATGCTCAGTTTGTTTCAGATTAGAAATGGAGACAGTGAAGTGAAGAAGGGTATCAGATGTATTTCGGTATTTTTCTAAAACTTACTTTGGAGCACGGGTTCATGCCCTAAAGCAGTAAACCCCAGAGTGACACTGCCATTTTTATTTTTCGTTGAGAAGAGATACTAAAATCAGAAACATAGAGTAAGCATTCCACACAGTTTTATACACTTATTCATTTTTTCCACTGAAATTTCCCCTTCATACCAATTTAATCAATTTAATGTGAAATATCAAATTAACAGGAGATTCCCAGACCTAAATAATAATGCTTTTTTTCTTATGCCATAAATAGGTGCTGGCTTGGGACTTGTAAATTCTGTGAAATTAAAAAGATAACGCTGCAGAGCCCATCTGCAGAGAGAGCAGGCAGCATTTTGAATAACGATTGTTTCCGTGGCACTGCACATGATGGAGCATATAATTTGGGAAGCTCTGCCATCCCCCCTATTTAGGAAGGAGAGCTTTTTTTCCTGCCCATCACATGCAAAACCTGAATAATTGAAGTGGATGTTAATCGAATTTTAGAAAATAGCTGGCACTGGCTCCAGCAGCCCGTGAGGCAGGAGCAGCTCCCGCTGCGGCCTTGCTGGTTTACCTCTCCTGATCTCAACCACCGCCAGCACCGGGTATTTAACCTTCATGGAAAATCTCCTTCCGTTCTTCACTACCCTTAGTTCAGTGAGGCCAAACGAGCCAGCACAAACAACCTTTTACAGAAATATGCGTTAGCATTTCTAAAACCGGTTCTGAGGATGGGTGTAAGAATTTGGGGGTTTTGTATGATTAGAGTTTTTTTAATTAATTCCCTTTTTTTTTACTTTAAAAAGAACAAAAAAGAAAAAAAAAAAGGAAGAAACCTATCCCCCAAGCTCCAAGGACCCTGTACCACCCCTGCACTCCCCAGGCCAACAGCTGGGTGGCCAGACACGTGTGTGTCTCAGCAGGCAGGCAAAGAGGAGGTTAATAGCAACAATTTTTGTGTTTGTCTTTTCATAGGTTAATTCGGTAAGAACAGGACTGGGGAAAAAGTGCGTTGCTCCAGCATCTTGCCCCACGCCTGCCACGTTCGCTCCCGGAGCGTCACCGTCCCTGCCAGTGCCTCTGCCAGGGCCTGGCCTCTCTGGCACGGTGCCACCCTGTGTGATGCCTCTCGGTCCCTATGGAGGAGTTTTCCCCGCACCCATTTACGGGGCCAGCCATGCCGCCCGGCCTGGTCGGAGGTGCCAGTATCGCGCGGTTCTCACCTCTCGGCAAAACCTGCTCGCGGCCGTACCCAGTGCCGCTGCGGCCGCCCGCTGCCGACCCGCCCGGCCCGCGCCTGCGGATGACGTAGCTCGGTTGCCTGGCCACGGGTGACGATGGTTTCGGCGTTGTCGCGTGGAGCGTTTGATGGGTAGATGCTGTACGTGGGGGTCCAGGCCAGGCCCAAGCGCACCCAGCCATACACCGCACCCAGCGATCACTGTGAGACAGGTTCACACAAGGTGGTTGGGCTGCTCGGGCAACGTTTGCTTCTGTTTCATTGCTGAAGACACTTTATTCTGTTGTGTTCTGGTGTTTTACACTTGCGATCCTTAAAGTCGATGTACTTGAATTGATGACTAGAAATTGTACTAACCCCTGCAGGAGTACAGTGCCTTGAATTTCAGCTTTTCAGTTCCAGCTGGAAAGAGATGTAAAATTATTTGAAAGGTGTATTTTATTTACAATCTGCTTGTGAGTTGAAGTTCTTTTTATTTGCAAAGATACTGAAAGTTTACAGTCGACGTTCTCCATCGGTTTCACTCTGCTGTTAAATGCTTTCATTTTAAATTCCTGGGTTGATTTTTCATTTTTGAAGCTTTAAAAAAAAAAATAATTGTGAGGTGAGGTTTGTTTGAGATGCCGATCAAAAAATTGTTTGTGTTTGTACAAGGAGTAGTGAAGTGCACATTTTGAAATAGGAACATTTACAGAGAGAGCTGTATATAAGGACAGGTAATAGCTTCAGGCAGTGCAATTCGTTTTCTTTCCCAGTCTTTGGTAAAGTTGTTGTAGATGGCAACTGACTTCTCCAACAGGCAGGCAAATACCATTTCCTTCTGGATCAGCAGCTAATTGGATTACGTTTTCTTTCCCCTACTGGGCTTTTATAATTTAGTTAAATTACAAATTCATGCATGTTTCTTAAGTGAAAAAAAAACCCAAAACCTACCTGAGCGCTGGCTGGTAGGAGAACGCATCTCCTTGTCACTGTAAATTGGTGTAAGTACAGCACTTGTGTGTGTCCTGGCTTCGGGTCGGCCACCGAGGTGAAGTGGCCTGCCACTGCCGTGCTGCAGTATTCATGCCGAAATGGAATAAACATGTGAAACTATTCTTTTTCATATCTGATACTTCCGTTTTGGAGTCTCACCACCTTTCGTTTGAAAATTTGGGGGGTTTTGTATATTTATTTTTATTTATTTTCTTTTCTTTTTAGTTTTAACTAATTTTGCGCTCTAGGGGGCACGGACACCTCTCTCCTGTTTGAAAGTTGCTTTTATTTTTGCCCGTTTTACTGTGCATAGAGTCTCCACCTGCACCTCTCGGTCTAAAGGCACAAGATAACCACTAAAACCAATGCGCTGATGGTAAGTCTCCTTCCCCTCGAATGTGCGAAGGGAGAGCACCGCAGGCACGGGTCACAATCCGCGCGGTCACATTGGAAGGCACGTTGCTCTGTATTCCTACCGCGATGACGTTTTCTACCGTCTGATGAAGGGCAGAGATGTCTTGTGCTGCCAAGCTGTGAATTGTATAGTTCTATTGTACTTGGAGCATTATATCTGTCTAAATTATTTTCTTTGTACCCTTTGAATATATATTATTCCATCAATTCAGTTAGAATTGAATTTTATAGACAATTATGCAGAGTCTTCTGCCTGGGCAAAATACTTACTGTAGTAAGAGATTTCTGTTCTCTGTAACATGTATCTTTAATTTGTTTGGGTTTTTTTAGATTCATGTCTGTATGCTTCATGAGCAAACATGGGAAATATGTTCTCACACCAGTTTTCCTTCGGCTTGCACTGAACCTTCCAGTTTATGTCGCTATTGCCTGTTGTATAGTCCATCCCTTGTATACTGACAAAGTCAGTGGCACTAAAAACCCCGAGAAATTGTATAGATTAAAAAGAAGAAAAATAAACATTTTGTGCTTGAAAACAGTGTGAAAAACCCAGTGTTTTTCTAAAATGTAGAACTGTGTCCATTCCCAGTTGTTCCGGGTAACTCTACATTTGTTTTCCAGCCTCTTACCCCTTGACTTGTGTAGAAGGAGCAGATGCGATGCCTCCACTCTTTCTCAGGTCCTGCCCATAACCAACGCGTCCCAACTCTTGGCAGTTGTAGAAGTGAAACGGTGCTCCAGAAGTCCTGTAGTGCCTCCTTCCAGCTTACGTTGCTGGAAATCCCCTGCCCGCTGCAGTATTTCTGGTGCAAAGCAGCCCAGACCGGACCGTTACCTGGGTTCCTTTCAGCCGATGGAATCTTCAGTGTTGCTGGCGGTATGCGGGAGGATGCTAGAGTTTGGTAGGTGGTGAAAGAGGTGCGTGGACTCTGTCTCTTCCATAGAAAAGTGCTAGGGAAGCCCTTTTAACTTGATCGTGGCATTATTTAAATGTGAGGAAGCGAAGATACGCAGTTCAGCTGCGATGCAAGCACCCTCTTGGTGGGCACCATCATTGGTATAGGCTGCAGGAGAACTTAGGAAAGGCTGTGCACGAAATGGTTTGGGACTTTTTGCTTCTGCGTTCCTGCACATCCGACCCGTGCAGCTTTGCTGTCTGTGCTGCATCTGTGTGGAAGGCTGCGGTGCGCGCTGCAGCGGAGTCCTCCTCTCGCGGGCCGCGTTGCATGCGCTGTGTGCCCAGGCAGAGCTGGCGGCGGGTGGGGGGCAGCCTATGTGAGCTGGGCTTGAACGCAGCCACCAAGTTACTAGTGGGTGTGTTCCGAACTGCTGCATCTTCAGCTGGTGTTGGGGCTCAGAGGTTGGCGTTTGCATTTTGGTATTCATGATTTTAGTTTTCTTGGCTACAATTCCTCTGTTAACCTCAAGTTGTGTTTTGCTACCCCCAATTGTGTCAAAGAGTGCTTTGACCCTCGGTGACAAGGAAGCAAATGATGTGAGATTAAATAAATGGGACAACTTCTTAAGCTAAAGGTGAGCAAATAGATGAGAGGGACCTTGAGGGGTCCATGCTGCACCATTGGATGTGGGGGGATCTGTACCCAAAAGGACATTCCCCTGCAGTTCCCAGAACCGAATTAATTTTATTCCTGGCTCTGAATATGGCTTCGATGTGCAGCAAGCAAGGGTCAAAGCCGCTGGGTAGAATGCCTCGCCTGGCTGGTCCTGTAGCTCTGCTATCTCCTGATGTCCCCAGCACTGCTCTGCAAGGATGAGTGTGAAGTCAGTCCAGATCCTCAGCTCTCAATATGACAAATTTGATGGGAGAGTTTGCAGATCCCCCAGTTTTCAATCTTTTAGAAGTTACAGAAACATAATGCAAATATTGAAAGAATGTTTTAAACTGCCAAGTCATGCACCCAGTAGTTCAGAAATGCCAAATTAAGTTTGCCCATATGCCATCAATTTGTTGTACATGGTGATGGAGTATCTAAATGCATAAAACCATCCTGTTTTCCCACCACATCTCTGGATTGCTTGGAGTGGGATGGGGTAGGGAGGAAAGCCACTGCTGCTGGCACTGCTTGTCTGATGCGAGGATGCGAAGCAGGGAGAGAAACATTTGAGCCGTTCAAAGCTCTGCTGCAAATCCCAATTCAACCTCCCTGACACAGATTTTGTTCAAAAAAAAAAAAGATGGAAAATTGTCCCTTGCAGTTGCTTTGCGTGTTTAACTCTGGTCTGCATTCCACAGTTTTAAAGAGGGGAATATTTCTTAACTATTACTTTACACCTATCTCCAAAGTGCTCTTTTTTTGCTCTCTACCATAGAACTTCTTTACTTTTCTCTGAAATGTTTGATATTGTCTGGTATAAAAGATAAGATGAGGGATTGAATGGGCTTAGTGTGGCAACCTCTTTGGTCCTATGGAGATATTTGTATTTGAGAATAGGGTGCTCTCGTGCTAAATGGCAGTGTTTCTGAAATGAACTTCTTAATCAAGGTGCAGATTTTGCCATTTGGTATTTCTGGAAGGGAATATCTGAAAGTTTTGAAACAGTCATTACTTTAACTTGGCTTTGTCAGTAGTTGCTTGTTCCCTTCAAGCGTTTTTCAGTGGTCCTAGTACACTGTTTTCAGTTCTGAGAACATTCAGAATTTCTCCAAACAAGCCCCATGGGACTTTGAGCTTGGTGGGTCTGTGTTGGTGTTGTTCACTTAATGCATGTTTGAGCAGGAAAAACATCCGTCCTGCTCCATTCTGTGGAAGTTGGCTTTGGAGAGTTGTAATCTTCTCCTTGGAGAAGGGTGGTGGTGCCAGAGGGGTGTGTAGTTGCTGAATGTGGGCCCGATCCCTGCAGGGAGTTCATGCGCTCTTCATCATTTCAGATGGGTGGATATCTTGCTATGGGATTGGCTTTATAAAACAGCAAACAACCTGATCATGTGGGATTTCTTGCTATGGTTACTTATTATTGACTGAATTCTTGAGGAACAGTTCTTTGACTTGTGGTGTTGGGCTGTGGTTGGCTGGTGCTTAGGCGGGCTGAGCTTCCGTTGAGTATTTGGGCAAGTGGTCTTGTGTGCTGATCCTTGTGGTGTTTCTTCTGAATGAACCTGGTAATACAATTACTCTCCTGTCTACGTATTTCTGAAATGAACCGCTGATCAGATGGGAGTTGTGTTGTGCCTTAAACGCATCAGTGACTGGTGACTGGGGCGGTACTTGGTTTTTGTGGAGCCATCCCTGCAGTTACAGCTGGAAGGTGATGCTCCAGTCCTGACCCTGCTGGTTCTTTTATTAATGCAGAGAAGCTCCAGAAGTGCAACATAATGAAATGGGTTTTAGTTATGGAAGAATTTGTTGCTCTGGGGGATTTGGATGTGCTATGATGCTGATGTTGGCTGTGTCGATAAATAGATTACTTGTAACTGATTCATCTGAAAGCCAAGCTAATAGGCAGCAACTTTTGTGAATTAAATTCTTTCTGCTTTTCTTTGAAAGTGATAGTTGTAGTGTACTATCAAGTTTGTTGCTGTGTATGCTTGCATCTGCATTTGACTGTAAAACTTCTTCTGTGAAATAACTCACATGCAAGGTTTAGAGGCTGTGTAATTCAAGCTTTCAGCCTTATGTACAATGCCTCATTAAGCTTTAGATTTTGCTTGATAAGCGTGGAGAAGCAATGCATAAAAGGGGACCTACTATTTTGATAAAGTATCTGTTACCACAGTGAAATTCTTGTGACATGTTCTTGGTTTTTCAAAGTCTGGTGAGCAAGGGAAGCTTGGATTAATTTATTTTGATGTAGTGCCACTGGGTGGATTCCCAGCATGTATTTATTGCACTGTTGTAGTTGCATGTTAACAAGGCAGAAGGAAAAGTTGCGGGTTGTTTTTTTTCCTTGGGAAGGAGCAGATCCCCGTGCTTTGCCTTTCATTACTAAGTCCAGCCACAATAACATCACTCTGGAGGAGCTTCAAGTGACAGGATGGGCATGGTGAGAGCCTCTGGAGCCACTCTTCTGGGGACTTTTTTATGTCTGTCATAGTTTTTCTGAGGTATTCAGGGCTTTGACACCTTGTAAAAACCTAAGAAATTTAAGAAGAAATAACTAGCTGCCAGTCCTTCCCAAACAGGTGTTCTTGAGGCCTGACTTAAAATACTCCAAAAAAGTATTTAGTTGAGTGTTGTTGATTTTTTTAATTACTTTGCAAATAAGGTAAAAACTTCCTCAGCATTCAGTTTTTGTTCATCAGGCTAGACTATGTCGAGTATCTTTCTCACTGTTAGTCCACAGCTACTGGATGTGCAACCACTGCCTTTCCCCCGTAGTTCTCCCCAGCACAAGAGAAAATTGTGAGTATAACTCAGTTCACCGATCTCTTCAGTGCTGTTGCCCATTCAGTCCTTGGAAAGTTCAGATTGACTTCAGGATTAGTCAACAGGGTGTGCATGGGATGTGGGCTGAGCATCTGGGGGTGTTCGTGTGAAGAGCTGGGCCCCTGGAGAGCTGGCCCTGGTTTTGGCTTTTTGGCTGACAGGTGGTATAACCAGACTTATTGCTGTCTTAAGGTTTTTTCCCTGTTACTTGGAGATAGTTAATTTTGTTTTATTTTGTTTTCCTGGATGAACTGCTGTGCCCAGTGCTGGTTATCGGTAGTGAGCAGATGTTGAGAATGGTGGTGGATTCAAGTGGATCTGCAGGACTGATGTTGATCAGAAGCTTGGGAAGGAATTATGATCAAGATATGATATTTTTACTTCCTTTAAAAGTGATTCTTCCTACAAGCAGGAAGAGCAAGAAATACAGGAGATAGAAAATTTGGACTGCATTTTATAAAAGTAATACTTAAAACATGGGGACCCACCAGGAGCTATGCCAAAGACAGATGATGTCTTTTGAACCACATCCTATTCCCCAATGTCCCTCACCTTCCCCGC